GCGCGCGGAACAGGGCGGCCAAGAGTGAGTACACGATTAAGTCAGTGTGTCAGTAAGAAGTATTTCATGAATCGTCCGAGTAAATAATTTGTTATAATAGAAATAGTAATTAGAACTCGATCGAAGATATTGAACGAGCCACTGATATAATGGAAAAGTAGTCAATGAATTGTCGTAAGAGTTTGGAAAGCAGCGAAACATTCGTGACACTAATAAAACGATACGAATCAGACACCCGATCGTTTGTTACCACGCGTGTTTCGTTCATTAATATTCCTCTAAATTTTCGAGCAATTATCGTGTCTGATAAAACTGACAGGCTTCTGCAAAATTGCGTGCTGAATAAGCGAATCGATATCTGGGTACAATTGGACGAGTTACGTTTAACTGCTTGTTCCAGGAAGTTTCGTGTCCATCCGAACTTTCAAATAATGCATTAACTATAACCTCAATTCTTACTACCGACTACGATAAACAAAACAACGTCGAAAGTTTACCTATGCGAACGAGTAATAAAATAATACTACTGTAATTCGGTTCTCTCCGGCTCCAACTGTTTGCTATGGATGAAAATCGAGCGCCCCGTTCACGAAAACCCAATCACTCGACTAATGGCGAAAATTACCACCGTCTGTCGCGTGATGCATGAGAGCTGAAAGGTGGCGTAGTCCCGGAAGGGTCAGGTCTTTCCAGGAAGTCGTGAACCTACGATCGAAGCGTTCGTTTACGTGCGTATCTAACGAAAATGATCGGTCGTTTCGCGGGCTGCGACCCCCACGGACTCGTGGAACGCGCTCCAGCAACGATCGATGGAGTCGTGCACCACGAGGACGGGTCTCCTAGGTGGACACGCCGGTTGACCGTCGACGTGCTATCGATTCGAGCAGTCCCTGGCATTCGTCGACGCTTTTCTTTGTCGCGGTGAATGAAAAATGCGGCGCGTTGCGTGCTCGGTTTCCCTCGCCCCTTTGGAAATAGGTTTCTCATGCGAGACTGCACTAAGAATTTATCCTCGAGGATCTGTGGCTTTTGGGGGATCATCTCGAGAATGGGACGCTATTTTCATTTCAATTTTAACATTTTTTCGAGCACCAGAATCTATTAGACACGCGTGTCTTCGCTAACCAAGAGTCTAAAAGGATGAAGTAGTCATTTTATAATTATTACCAAACTATTGATCCCTGAAAATCAGTGTGTTTGTAACATAGACGAAATTGTGTTGTATATTGTAGATAACACGATAAGTGGAATAGGTTATGTTATCTTATATCGATAACAATACACGTGACGAAAGGGTACCGAAAGTTTGTAGCAGATTAAGCAGCAACAACTGATTTACAATGTGTACGAACAACTGTTTCAATTTCGATAACGTTAATGAGAGTTACGGCCGCGGATTACTTGTTCCGTGGGGCGCAATATGAATGATAAATGTGGAGTTCGTGCGCGAGAACGCGAGCGAGAGGTCATCATCCTCGCGTGAGGAATGTTTTCATTAGAGGGCTGCGCGTACCTCCCGCTGATCATCCCGTTGCAATATAATTCCCAATTCTGGCCCCCGTTCAGCTTCGTGCAATTAAATCCACCAATTCATTACTGGAATAGCGAATAGCTTTGTTCCTTGATTAAACGATCCAAGATTTTAACAGAGTATGTTGACATAATCGAAATATGAATTATAGACGACAGCAGCCAATTCAGGTTCTGATTGAATAAGTAACAATTTATCTTTTACAAAATTCTCTACTACGTGCAGAAATATGTATCAAGACCTAGAAATAGGCGGAGGATTGGGCCCCCCTCTTGAGCAGCCTTTTTAGGTGTGGGATTCTCCAATATTTTGTCAACCCCCGTTTGAGCTCTAGATCCGCCAATAATTCAGATTTCGAATATATTCGCAAACACGTATGGGGTGATAAATTGCCCCAACGCTCGAAAGGGTTAGGGGGACGTCCATCCCCTCTTTACCCTATTTCAATCGAGCACGACGTCCACAATAACAACTCTTCCGATCTCATCGAGAGGATACCACTGTCCCACTTGGATTTCCAGGTACCCTTTCGCGTTAGAAGCTCCATGTGCACCCTCGCTCCACCCTCTGTCCGTCTCTCGAACTCGAAACGATAATGCCGCGTACGGTTCGATAGCGGGCGTCGCGACGCCCGGCAGTCTGCCACCGTTCCATTCCATCCTGTTTCGTCCGACGTCGGGCCGCGCGCGCACACACACCAGCGCGCGTTTTCGGACGGAGGAAAGTGTCTCCCGCGGTCCGCGGCGCGAGTGTGTGCGTTCCGCGCGCGGCCGCTCTTAAGACGAGCATAGGCGCCGCCTTTTGGAAATTCGCGCCGGTTCGTTAACCCTTCGGCCGCGGGGATGGCGAATCGATGAGACATGTGCCACTTTCGCCACTCGTGGAAACTCTTTTGGCGCTCCACCCGACCGTTTAACACCCCTTGCTACGCGAATCTTTCATTTTTTCCCCGTTCGCTGTTTTCTCGATCGATCTAAATTCAAACCCTCGAATATTTGAAATCCAAACTATTTGGTTTATAATCTTAAATTGCGTCCTCGGACCGATGCGACTGGACTGTCAAATTCAATATTCTCGAGAATTCGCGTGACATTTGTGAAGTTTCGTGTGTCAGTTTAGTCTCCTTATGCGTAACGTAAGACTCCAGATAACCGAGTACAATGTCAAATTCACGGCTGGGGCGAGGTCTGTCTGCGAACCGATATGACTGGAAAGCGACACGTCGGGAGTCTAATTAACCCTGGAATGGCTAAGGTGACGTCGCACAAGACGTCAGTGATTTCCAACGAAAATTACTAAAGAGAATTAAGCTAAAATCGAGAGGAGTAATTAACTGTGGTAATTTTAGATAACTTTCGTTTGCGAAAGGTTTGACAGACACTAGTTTGTCCGTGATAGAAACGTTTCGGAATGAATGGCGATGAGTACGAGAGGTAACAAAAAGTCTACGCCAATGGATCGAAGACGCAGCAGGCATGCGTTTGGCACAACGTACCGCTTTTAGCCGTGAATGCAACCGTTGCAATGCCATTAATTTACCGGACGATTTGCCCCGATTAATGTCCACGGAGTCCTAGTCGCAGAATCCTTGATTGTTCCCGCAGCTGAAAGGAGACACGGACTTTCCGTGATTTCTCTTTTCCCTTGCTCGTTACGCAATTAAAAAGATTCTCCGTGGACCGTTTTAGAGGCAGTGTTGTTCACGTTTTGCTAGACCCCTACCTCCGCGGAACGAAAATGGTACCGTTAATACCAGCGTGAGCGAGAAACAAGTTAACAAGCAATGGTTAATGGACAATTAAGCCTTCACATAATTCAGAATCATTTGAGCAGAAATTTTTGAACGTTTCTTTTCTTCTTTCGATGGACTGTACAGGTAATCGTAGCTTCTAAATCCATGTGTTTCAGACAATTAACCATCATTTGTACATTTACGGGGGAATGGTTTCGTTGTGCGACGAATATCAATAAAAAGCGAACGATATTTTTCCATTTCACGACTCGATTCCGTCGCTGGATGGATCGCAGAGGACACGGTGAACATTTTTATTAGCGCGGTCAACTGCTGTCGTTTGGTCGCGATAGCCCATTGGCGATCGGACAAAAGGATATTGGCAGGTTGACGAGGAGGGAGGAGGGGCGCAAAGAGGGTGCAAAAGAAAAAGAAACGAAGCAAAGCTTTTTTCCACGTGGCGGAGGAAGAGGTGGTTCAATCGTTGTTACGTGATCTCGACGCGACAGAGGCGAAATGGATTTTTCATATACAGGAGGGACCGATCCGATAAAGCGGAGTGGTGTTTACGGGAGGGTGGTTAGGGGTGGAGAAGGGTCGAGGAAGGGGTTGAAGGCTTCACGGAAACGAGGAAAAGCGCGGAAAGGCCGATAACGACCGTCGACTGTGAAGAGTCGATCGATACTACCGCGTTTCGAGAGGACTACCTTGCTTGTCCCTTCTCTCCTTATCGCGCTTCTTCCGTACAGATCTCTTCTGCCTTCGCTGTTCTCTCGACGATAGCCGCGCGTCGATGATGGATGCCCCTTGAACTCCTCTTAGCATTTTTTCACGGGAGAGAGTGGAAATATCGCCATTGAACTTTATTGCTCTTCGAGTAGAGGCTCCCGTTACTCGAACTTGGCTCGTTCGATGGAATGCGACAGCTTGGGAGGAACGAGAATTGTCGCGTTTTGGCACGAAACTCCGTTAACATCAACTGTACAGGGTTATTTTTTATAAACATAAACGATACGGCTGTATCTCTGACCGCAAGAAGCACTCCCGGGCAGAATTAAATTGATGAATCAACGTCCTCCGCTCGTCTTGCTTTTCGATCTCTTAGATTGTCTCAATTCGGTCTCGAGTCTGTGACAACTTGAGAGGGGACACTACGTAATCAATGAACACCTTTTACTCAATACAGTGTGTAAAACAGTAAATTGTTATTCCAACATTATAACGATCTTTTTGCAATGTTTAATCCATTGAGAAGTTCATTTGTTATTCAAAATTACTATCCAAATGCTTTTCCCGTCTCTGGAATGGCACGATTTATGTGCAAAATGTTCGATGGAAAATACAGGTAAAACACCTTGGGTGATTTATTATAAATACAGTTATATATACCGGGTGACGAAACTATTAGGCGAAGCGTTCGGATCGTTGATGTATCCCTTTGGAACGATACGTTCCGTTGTCATAAATTGTTGTACTCAAGGGCGTTCAAAGGTCATGATGTTACGGCTCATTAATTCCGTCTCCGCGGCTCTAAACGACAGGCAAAATAAATTGTAAGGACGTTCATAAATTGAAGGTGACCTTGAGATAAATACACTATCGAAAAGCGTCCACAGTTGGGGCACTCGAGATTCTCGACTGGCCGCAACTGGGTTAAGAACCAATTGTGTTCCTGTAATTGGTGTTCGCGTACACTTGTAAAACGTGTTAACGAGCGGTTTTGGTTTTGTTTTTCAGTGTCTGGCACGACAAACAAGGAAGAGGAAGAGACGGCGGTGGCCACTGTTGGCGTTACAGAGGAAACCACTAGTGTCCTGGGCACGAGATCCAGGACGGGGAGCGATCCTGGAGGAGGTATAGACCTCTTGGCAGCGTTACAGTTGTACAACACAACGCGACAGGGTGTTATACAAGTGCCGGGGCTGGTTAGGTTAAAGCCAGCCTATTATCTTCAGGGTAAGTGCTGTCTCTATATAGACGAAATTTCCCAGCGCAGAAAATAATTCCCTATGCAGAGTGAAGTGTGTTAAGAATTAATGTCACTGAAACTCTAATGCTGGACAGTGTGTTATACACGATAAACAGTCACGTGACACGAACGTGAGGAAACATCGAGGACCTATCCTATATTTTATTCAATGTACAACACATATTACAAGGGCATAACAGGGTATATGATAGCATAGAAACATTTATAAAGCGCTTTCCTTTATCGATGTTGTTCCATTTCTTTCACCTGGGACCATATTTTTCGTTCTGGCAATGTACATACATGTTGCCTACAATAAAATAATACACTTCCACAGGCAGGTGACGAATAAATCATTTGGGAACAATTTACACTCGTGTTAGAATTGCGTGCGAGTTGTACGCGGTGCAGTAAATCTCATGGCGAGAACCGAAACCGCTTCGACGGGCTTCTCTTAACCCGAATATAGCCTTATTTCCATATCGGAGGGTCGTTTCTAGCGCGGGCAATCTTCCTCGACTATTCTAGGCAGTAATCATTGCCAGTCGTAAAGTCGATTATTGCTTTTCGTAAATCACAACCTGCTTCCTCCTTCTGTCCTTTTGTGTCTGGAATTGCCCTTGTACACGTGTACCGCAAAAAAAAATAAAAAAACAGAACCGACAAATAGAGTTGCTCCAAAAGCTCGTAACTTTTTTTGTTCAACGGAGTCATAAACTCGAAAAACAATTGTTACTCATCAGTTAGAACGCGTTGGTTACATAACCAGCGATTAATCGATATCGCGAAAGGTCAGTTACATAGCCAGTGTCGGCGCATCGTCTCCGTTGGTAGACTTCCGGAGGGATTTCCCTCGTTGCCGCATATCGATTCCTCCTTTTGAGTTTCGAGATTCGATTCGACGAACTTTCAACTTCCATTAACTCTACCAATTTTCATCTCGTACATTTTTAACATTCCCTTCGTTAGCATCGATTTCTTATTCGCATCTTCTCAAGGTCACGTTTCTCAACGGATCAGGATATCAATATCTCATAGAATTAGTATATTATTCAAATTTTCGATTTGAACCAAACAACCCTTTCTCCAATTGACAAATCGTTGCACAGGTCATCGATATCTCGATATTAAATAAAATCTCTCCCGTTCGAATTGCCGCGCGTAATATCGCGTATCGAATTACGTGGTCCTCCACCCCCGCTACGTAAACGTTTGCACCCTCTCGTCCTCTCAACCCCCCCATGCTTTCATGCAGCCGATCGGTATTAGAGAAACGTGCACCCAAGCTGAAAGCGTGGGCGACGGTGCAACGTCCGCGAAAAGCGAGTGGAATCGCTTTGGTGGGGCTGGGAGGGATGGTCGGGCCAAGGGTGGCTGTCAGGAGGGGTTTCCCCGAAAGAAATTTCAATTACCGGGGCCACCCTTGCCTGCCTTGCACCCTCCGTCGATGGTTTCGCGGAAGTAGCCGAACGTTCTCTGCGGTTTGCAACATCGAAAACGAAGGGAATGTTCTTTTTGTTTCTCTTTCTATCGTTGCACAGCCCTTTGCATCCCCCATTCTTTGGCTTCGTGCGAGTTTCCGTGGTCTGAAATCGTTGGTATTGTTCCAGAGAATCGTTCGGCGAGTTTCTGGCAAACGGTGATGGCTTCCTTTCAAGCATGAATTAGCTCTTAGTTCGTTCCTTTCGATGTGTGTTGCAGACACGTCGTTCAAAATTATTGGAATTTCCCGCCATTAGATGATTGGCGGGAATCGCGACGCTAATGTTTCTTATGAATTTCAAGGTTCCAACGAATGCATTTACATATTCCGTATAAATAAATGGCCGACAGCAGTTTCTTGTCGCTGTTATTTATCTTGTCACGAGCTCACCCTCGATAAATATTTCTTCGGACAGTCGATCGAGGAAGAACCATCCCCGAAATTCGGTTCATTCTGTTCGGATTGGAAGAGCTTCGTAAGGGAACCCATTGTGACCGTCGGACAAAGGGCACGAACTATATACGCCGACACGTGGCGGAGTTTTCTCCGAACATGGAAAACAAGATTTCGCGATCCCCCTTTGTAGTTCAGCGGGGAACGAGCCCACTGGTCCTGGAATTGGGTGACCCCTTGGGACCCCTCTGTAGGGTCGGCTGATTTAATCTCTCCGTTATTTATTTCCGAAACGAATAACTTTCTCTTTGACCGTCTTCGCAGATGCTAAATTAATGCCCCGTGCTGATCCAAAAACTCTCTACCCCGCACTCGTCTTTGGATACCAGCCTACAATTTTGTTTCCCGATTGATCATGGGTGGTAGAATGATATTGCACAGTATGAAATTTCTTTTCCACGCCAGCAATGCCAGATCCAACTCGGATTCAATGGACTCGGCGAACGGTGTAGCCATCGCGTATCAATTGTTTTGATAATATTTCACGAGGCATAAACTGCTCTGTATATTTTCTAAAGTTCAGGCATGGCTCTCGAGTGTATTATGTTACACATCTGCTTGCAAGAATCAAGGTTACTAGGTACTGTATCAAAATAACTCGACAGACAATCTGATCATTGCGCGATGATCTCATCTTTCCGTGAACGAGTATTGACGCTCAAGACTTGCAAGGATCAAGTAACCAACTCAATAGAGAATAGGTATACCCTATAATAATTCCCTTCTATCGTCAACGATGCGTCAAACTCATAGTAACCTGCAAGGTCCCACGTTCTTTATTATCAAATTCATCCACGTACAACTTCTCCAATGGCACTTCACCGTTGCTCGAATTCGTTTCTCGACCGAACCAGATACCACCAAGGCGTTCTCTGTCATCGTTCGTTCAATAACATTCGCTAGGTACGTGTGTCAATTTGCGTGGAAAGATTATACGCGAGCTGAGCACCTCGATATAGTTCGCCGTTGCTGTAGAACCGACCGTGGACGTGGATAATTGATCAGACGCGGCTCGTGGGCTAGAGAAACGATCGACTCGGTTCGATGGTCCTCGAGTGCACGAAAAAAAAAAAGGAGCCGCGGGTTTATTGCCGAGCCCCGTTGGTGTCCGGTTGCTTTATTAAGCTCGCGGCGTGTCTGTAACTCGAGGAGAAAAACTGATGGCGTCGCGGGACCACTGGGAAGCCAGCCAGTGGACGACCATGTGCGGGTGCACTTTATACCCGGCCACGCACCTTCGTCCCAAGGGGGGTATTTGCACTTGCATTCGAGCGGCAGACCCCGATCGTTTGCACGAGACGGATTACACGGTTCGCCGCATGATCGACACCGGGAGGAACGGGAGGTAAAGTCAAAAATTAATTCCGCCGGAGTCGACGTGGTTAATTGGAGGACAATGGATACGTTTTGCATAGGGGGAGAGGAATCGCGCGTTATGGCGCGTTAAACGAAACTTTATCGTCCGTGTCTTATGCGAGCTAATAGAGTATGTTTCCTCGGATACAGAGGGTGTCGCGTTACCGAGCGTCCATCGACTGTGTACGTTCTACAGGTGACCCCGAGCACGGTTCAAAAAGAGCGCAGGTGATTCTACAGGGTGTCCCATTTTCATCTACAAACGCTGGCCACTCGTTGGCTAAACGTTGACTCGTTCGAAGGGGGATGTAATTTAATGTAATTAATCTCTGTTTAGTTTATCTTTTTCTGTAACTATAAGGAATTTAAAATGCGTCGGATAGTTTTTGAAGTAGAAGCTTCGGATTTCTGCTCGAGAAGCTCACAATTCGGTTCGTTAGAGGACAAATTTTTTTCGAATTTTCACGAAACCGAGCCGGAAACTGCAGTCAATCGAATTTCCATGTCAACTTGATTGCGTAACTACGAGCGGGAACAGTGAATCGGACAAATCGATGCGACCCACCAAAAAATTTCGGCTGACCTACATCGCCAAACTCTTTTGTCATCGAATGAAACAGTATTCCCGAACTTTTCTGAAATTGCTAGACCTAGGTGAATTAAGCCTCTGCCCAACTTTTGCCAAAATTAACACAGCTATAGGCCAAAAAGTGTGGAAGCTATTTCCAAAGAAATTGTAATTTTTATTTAGCGAGTAACGGATAAACGGTTCTTTATGTTTCATCCAGATAAGGATTTTTCCAATATTTGTTCACGATACTATTAATATTATCCATGTTTCGCGAAAAGATCGAACGAGGTGCGGGAATCATTGAGTTTTACTACTGCAGGCGAGGAGAGGGAGCTCCGACTGAACGAGGCGAGCTTCGAACGAGCAGTTACGCTACTCCAACGGGTTCCGGAATTCACTATAGCCGCCGCTCTGCGACAGGAGGAGGCCAATTCCGGGACGATCGTCGCCTTTTCACATGGGAACAATAGGTACGACGCGTGTAATTTAATTCCACCCACTGATTCTCGCTTCGGGACTGATGGTCCGGAATCAAAGTGACTCGGACAACGCGCTGGAACTCGAGCAATGCACGAACGAAATACGAGATCGAGCTCCGGGAATCCTCAGACTCCTTTTTCCTTTATCTCCATTGGGAGTCTCGATTCTGTCGCTTCAAAGCGGGGTTTCGATAAACAAGTAGTCATTTCAGTTGGGAATTGCTAATTTTTCGTCCTGTATAATCAGTGAAAGTACCGTTTATAAAGGGTCAAGCACGATCGAGGAGATAGAGCCAAGAGCCATCAGACCAAACTGCGATCGACCAATGAATTAGAAGCAACGATGCTTAAAGAGAGTCCGCGAACTGGAAAAGGTAGAAAAGCCAGTCTTAAGGAAGTTACTGTGTCAATTGTTGAGCCGGGATGAAGAAGAGCACTTAACCTCAAAGTAGTTGCACCCTCTGTTGGCACGCGAGGAGTGCAGTCTAGTCGTTTTGACCTGACTGACACAAATTGGATGCATGCACCTACGTGTCCGCGTATTAGACGGTAATTAACACGCCCTGCCGAGCAGAAAACACGGCCAGTTTAAGCGAAATTTAATGTTAATTTGCCGTTGTCCCAAATTGAAGATTCGTCGTAGGGATTTGCATGGAACGGTCCACGTCCAAAGACCCTGCCGATACACGCCCTTGACTCGTCTATTGGCACTCGTAGAATCAAGATTTCTATTATTATGAATCATTAAGGACATCCAAGTGGTTAGAATCGACGATCAGCGCGAAACGGAAATCACGATGCACGCGCGTAACATGTCCTCATCTGATTCGATCGCGTAATCAATTTATTCCATGCACATGTTTCAATTAAGAGCTCGAGACGGGGTTTAATCGATCTCCAGATGTTATTCGCGTACTACGTTCTGTGACCGTGTTGTCGTACCAATTGCTGCGTCAAGTTATTCGATTAAATAGCTGCGTGATAATTCATGGGAATCGACTGCTCTCGAATCAATTGAATTTCTCGAGCAACCGATCTACGTTACCGTATATTACCATTTTACGAGTTTGCAATGTCTTTTTTAACCGTTGATTATTCTCTATAGAAAAGTGAACTATCTCTGTGCGATTGGTAGATATTTGGAGCTGCAGAGCAGCGGTCGTAAGGACGAGCTTCGACTTCACTACGTATCGCGCCGAGACGGGACTGTCCACGTGGAGGCGTTTCCTTTCCGACTGGCCGACGGCGCCTGGCACAGGGTCGCCCTGAGCGTAAGCGGCTCGCAGGTCGAGCTGCTCGTCGACTGTCATCCCTTGTACAGGCGGTTGCTTAGGCCCGGACCACCTGACACCAATTTCACTTTGCCACAGCTTCAGCTTTGGGTAGGCCAGAGAAACGTCAGACACTTTCTCTTCAAGGTACGAGTCGTTCATTACTAGCGTTTTCCCCCCCAATTCCTTCTACAACTGCCAACCGTATCGCAATCGAGCAACGTAGAGCATAGACCTAAGGCCGTGGATTCGACGCGGGTTACTCCGTAAACTTAAGTTTAGTTTAGAGCGTCTTTGGTCTACAGGGTTCTCAGGCTCAGTTTCAAGGGCACTTGTTTAGTTCCGCGGAGGGTATGCTTGAGAAACAGGGTTACGAGTGTTAGAAAAAGCGTATATAGCGACGGTAGCGCTACTTTAAATCCTGACTCTACATTGGACTGAGATAAGTTAGTACCATTTTGGCGCCACAGGGTGCTTTGCAGGATGTGAAGCTGATACCAGGGCCCCATGGCTATCTTTCCCAGTGTCCCCAGCTCGATTCGTCCTGTCCCACTTGTGGTCAATTTTCTATATTACAAAATACTGTGGAGCAGCTGATGCATAATCTCAACGAACTTACGCGTAGGGTGAGTAAATTGTCGAACGACTCGGCGATACCGTCCTCGTCGTAAGAAATGGGTCGAAGCACGTTTTTAATTTTCTCCGTCGCGGACAGCCGATCAACTTGTGCTCATTAACGTCCTTCCTTTTAGCTAGCCGTTGCAGAGGGCAGAATAAGCAAAGTGGAAGAGTGCGAGTGCCAAAAGTCGTGCAGGACTAATGGCACCGTCCAAGAGGACGGTGCGACTTGGAACAAGGACTGTCAGCAGTGTTCTTGCGTACACGGTGAGATCGAGTGTAGGCCGACACCTTGCGCCCCTGTCACCTGCAAGAATCCTGTCATTCCTCCGGGACAGTGCTGCCCGATCTGCTTGAGTAAGTTTCCCACAAAGACACCCCTTATCTAAGACCGTGGCCCGAGCGTACGACTGCTTTGGTCAATGCTGCCGGAGCAAACACTTGGTAATTCGCATCCTGGCGTGTCTGTTCCCAGAGCAATGTTACTTGCTCGGCGATATTTACGATCACGGTGTGAAAGTCTCGCCGAGACAGTGCGTCGAATGCGATTGTTTCGACGGTAGCTTCACCTGCAAAAGGTTCGACACCGAAACAAAGTGTCCACGATTGCCTTGTCCACCCAGTGAGCAAATAAGCGTGGCCGAAGAGTGTTGCAAGTTTTGTCCAGGTACGTTTGCGAGCAATAGAACATCCATTGGTACTATTACTTTAATCTTTTGAGACATTTCCGACTTTTACAGCAGTGACAGGGTTCGATCGTATCGAGTGACGATCGACTCTAACAATATTTGTCGAGAGCCCTTAGTGAAAATTAACGTAAAGTCAATAACGAACGAGATCACTCATTGCCCTCGCTAGTCCATTTTAACAAAATGTCATTTCGATGTTTAGCATGATGTAATAATCTATTAACCAAGCATGCAGCCCCTGGCAAAAGGTTCCTCATCCGATAAACTGATACTCCGTCAAATTTGAGACGCAGGCAAAAGGTACCCTCCCTGTAGGTGAAGCTATAATGTGGACTTTATTGACAGTTTTGATCTGGTGACTCTTTGGATCACTCCTTTATCCGATACTAGTTACATGGTTACATTAAGCATTGTTTTCCATGTTCTGACATATTTGAAGAGTCGCCACAATTACACCCTACCTATACCAAATTATTTAACCATTTATTCCAATCAAAGAACTCTTTGCCAGGGGTTGTCCTCGTTGCTAAATCAGTCACTTACTCACCATAATAGCCCATTAACTAAGGATCAAATAAACAAAGGGACGCATGCCTCGTCAGGAGATCCCAGACTACTCAATTTTTATCGTCACTTAACGCGCTCATCAGCATGAAAGATTAACGAGAATTCACGAATGAAGGTCTTGAAGCGTAACGCTAACTATTTGACGAGCTCTTGCATAATGAAAGAGCTTCGGATGGTTAATGGTTTCCAAGATATTTAATTTCAATATAAAATATCTTATGAACAATTAACCGTCTGCCCATACATTTGGGTGGCATTAGATCTTACAAGCTCTGTACAGAAGCTCGTCAAGAAGTCGGGATCGTTTCTTCTCAGTCTTGGACACTGAGAATTCATCCAATTCCCTGGCGGCGGCAGCTTCCCGCTAAAACTAAACCAAATACGCTAATCGAATGTTCTAACTATCTCTTCATCTGCCTGGCTAACCCAATTTAACCAGGGGTGGACTACTGCGCGAAGGGCCACAAGTGTCACGCTAACGCATCCTGCTTGAACCTCCAGACAACCTACGCCTGCCAGTGCGATATTGGTTTCCAGGGGGATGGTCATAACTGTCACGGTATCTAATATGCTTTCCTCTCTAACTTAACGCGCTCGTATTAACCTTCGAACCGTCTCGATGGAGGCGGGCCGGGTCGATGGGAAATTCCTGCTCGACCACGTGCAATTTCCGATCGATCCGGTCGCGTGAAATATTTAAACGATGATGTTGACACGCGGAGAACATGACACGTGTTTACACACACGGTTCTTCGTTGTCCGTGTTGAAGAGCCGGACTGTCATTCGAAGGAGGATGGTCGTGATTACAGAATTGCGGTAACGGGGATGCGCGTTCCTGTCCTCAGACAGTGATTCCATATTTTGTTAGCGATTCAGACTCTATTTCAAGTGGTCAAGCTCACCCATTCTACCGATAGTCTTTACTGCCTATGTCCATGTTTCGTGATAAAATCATTGGTGATCAGTCCTTGGTGGCTTTAGTCAAGTCTGGGATGCATCTAAGCAACTCTTCCTATGTTTCATAAGAGTACAGACACATGCCTGCAATTCTGTAATCCAATAATTGCAATTTCAAACAAATACGTGCATTTACGACCCTCTCCTCGCAACGAAGTGTCGAAAACAACACGTTTTTGCAATGGTAATTGCATTTCACATTGACCTAATTTGTTGGCGATTCAGACGTAGACGAGTGCAAACAGCAAGGTGGCTCGGAGGGTCACCACTGCAACGCTAACACGAAGTGTGTCAACGTGATTGGCTCCTACACGTGCGAGTGTCTTCCGGGTTACCATAGAGTCGACAAATTCAATTGCGCGGAACTTGACGAATGCGCGACCGGCCATCACGCGTGCGACGAACATGCGACTTGTGTCAACACAGCTGGCAGCTACTACTGCGTATGCAAGGATGGATACACGGGAGATGGATACACCTGCAAACGTACAGTATTCTATTTTGTGTTCTACGTTGATCGTAACACTTTTTTCCTTCCAACGCTGCACCCCCTTTCCAGCCCGTAATCTTCCTAATCTCTTGACCTCTTCTGGTTTAGCCGTCTGCAATCAGACCTGTCAGAATGGCGGCGAGTGCGTGGCGCCGGGAAGGTGTTCCTGTCGACGCGGTTATATCGGCAACAGTTGCGAGCTCGACCTGGACGAGTGCGCCAGCGACCTACACAGGTGCCATCAGTCCTCGACGTGCTTCAACATGCCCGGGTGGTACTACTGTCGCTGCAAACCTGGCTACAGAAGTGCTCTCCATGACAGCACTCAAGGCACACAGTGCCTCGACATCGACGAATGCAACGATCAAACAATCGAAAGGAGGCACACGTGCCACCCTAGCGCGAAATGTGCCAACACCGAAGGAGGGTACGAGTGCATGTGTCCACTCCAGGAAGACAATCACACCGCGGAGGAATGCAGGCTCAGTAAGTGTCCAGGTTGTCTTAAATTAAAAGACTATAACAATGAATCCTTTGATCGTCGCTGTAGGCGCTTGATCCTTATTCCTGTTGCGTGAGGAGTATTTCTAGTTAAGTGGCAATCCTCGATGGCTCCATGGTGGCTCGTCAATTGATTCCGTTTTCTACTTTCCTCGACTTGTCCAGGTTGTTGGTTCGAGAATCGCGAAGTGGAGAATGGCGAGACGTTAGCGCCGGCCGGAAATCCCTGCAGAAGATGCACGTGCAAGGACGGCGTTGTCACTTGTAGAGATCCTATCTGCGACTGCAGCGCTCCAGGAAGCCACAGGGATAAGTGTTGCCCGCAGTGTGATCCTGCGGCCTCCTGTAGACACCAGGAACTACATCACCTAGTCTTCAGAAGCGGTGAACGATGGATATACCAATGCCAGACTTGCGAATGCCTGGTAATAAGATTTGTTGCGATAACATAGCTCGTAGTAGACGTTGACGGTGCATAATCCTGAATTCCATTAGATCATTTGCAATCTTTAGGCTTGATCCGTCGATGTATCTGTTAAAATCATTGCAATTTATTGCAGTATGGCGAAATAGACTGCTGGCAGATGGAATGTCCACCAGTGACCTGCTCGAATCCCGTAACAGAGGACGGGGACTGTTGTCCTCGTTGCGAGGATGATCCTTGCGCGAGGGAACTGCCTGGAAACAGTACCTCCCTCTCGGTGCTCACTCGACCACAGCCCTGCAGCTACTCCGGGATCATCCACGATAGCGGCAGCTCCTGGCAGGACCCCCATGACAAGTGCACCACGTGCGAGTGCAAGGTAAGGAGGACGTCCAGCCACGATCACGTGGAAGGACCGAAGAAACCGAATCGTCGGTCCTTTACCCGTGGAAGGTCCGCAGGATACGGATAGGATAGGGGGGTTCGTGAGAGAAGAGAGGCGAAGGATTGAGAAGGATCGATGGTCCGGATGATTCACACATTACATCGTCGATCCACGTTTGGATCGTAGCTACACTTTGGATTTTCTATCTGTTGTTATACACGGCAAAGAAAATGTGATGCGCTGAGTTTCATACAGCGTAGTCAAAAAATGGCGTCATCCAGTAAACTTGCATACTTTAGCGACCAAATTTATACCCTTTAGCGTGTAGTGTACACGATTGAGAATGCATTAGGATCTTTTTCCTTGTCTTAAATTGTAATGTTGTCTTCGTGACGCCATCGTAATCTTGAGTAGTCATGTGAGAGTCAATTCGTATATACTAGCGCCACCTAGTCTTCTTTGCTCAATGTTCTTCCCAGTACTTACGTACTTTAGTATTGGCACTGGTGCTTCGTTAAACATTAATTCCTTCCCGTACTTTAACGAGTCTGACTCGTGATGATGATTTTCGCCCAAACATGAACATCACGAGCCAGGCTTGCTGATAGCAAATCACGATCGTGATCGAGTTTTAGTTCCTATTAGTACGCCATAAGAGTTGGTCACGATTCTCATAATCTCTGTTACGAAATACCACTAAATACCACGGGAAGGGGTTAAACAATCATGTTCATGTCACATTCTTATACTTAAGCAATGATAACTTGAATATCTTGGTCAACGTTTCTTCTCGTCGCACTCTCTTTTCGCGCGAAATCAAGAGCTCAAGGTCAGTAAACGAAAAGTAAATATCGCATTAAGTTAGCCGTGAATCTGTCATGTGTCCAATCAGTTGCGTTCACTATGATACGTCGAGGTACGACCAGTTGTTGTGCGACAGCCGCCCATCCAAAAACATCATGATGTACATAATACACGTGGCGGATTAACATTATATTAACGTTCTCTTTCTGTATCTGTTCTCTCTTGTAATATGCTTTCGCTGTATCTAAACTCAACCGCTCAATTAACATCGCTTTTTTAATGCATGAACAGTTATCAACATTAGCGTGTTACTATCTTGATGTTTAAATGTCTGAGATGTAAGAGATAATTGTAAATTAATTTAGTATAATTTTATGTTAATCAAGGATAATAATTAATTGACTGTTTGTGTCGTTTCTCCTGTAAATACGTATTGATTTATTTATAAAATGCTTGTAGAGCATTCAGATATATTTATGTGACTAATATTTATTTAAGAAATGTGCAGGTACAATTAATCTTAGTAATCAAAGGACTTTCTTTACGTAATTCTTTAGAATCAACAGAAACGTTATATATCTTTTAAAAGCTATTTAAGAATCATTTCGAAACAAAAAGCAGATAACGCGAGAATTAACTTATTTTAGTCTTTATTGACGATTCACTTTGGATTTATCGTTCTAAATGTAGAAATAATTCGTCCGCCACGTGTACAAATAAAGTCACAACACACGAGCATATATATATACCTTTTTTTTCTCGCTCTCTTTCGCTCTCTATTACTTTTTTGTCTATCTTATTTATTTATCGTGTCAGTAGGTAACCCTCGTATAATACAAGGTGCCTATACATATACTGACTGTAATTTATTTCTAGTACTATGCCATTTATTTTTGCGGTGTGTATAACGCGAGTCAACGTTGCAAAGCTATGCGCTAAAATCTTGATCTTTCACACGCTGAGAGAAAATTAGGATCAAATTTAACATGCTACAAATGTCTCTGTTGCTAACGTTTCGTTCAAGTCTTTGAAGTTTACGATTCAACTCAAGCTCAACACAAATCTAATACAAACCAGACACAGAATCAGTCCATTAGCCTAGACCTAACTTGAACTTAGCTCATAGCTAGCTTTAACATAGCTTAGACTTGATCCATACCTAACTCATACTTTAGATGTAAATAGATATAATTAACTTAGCTGATCCACTTAATCCAGCCCTAACATAAATGTGATCCTTGTCTGAGACCTAGCCAATTCAAATGACCCAGACCTTAAATGTGATTGTGAACTAACTTAGCCCTTTACTTAACTTAAACTTAGCATTTAGCTATTGGTCCAGACTTGATTCGAACCTAATTTGAATTAAGAAACCTCTCTAACTTGGTGCAACTTAGCCTGACTAAAATCTCATTACCACTCGACCTATCGGACAAGTATTACTACAAAGACTTGACGAAACGTTCTAAGCACCACGATAAAACCCAAACAAATGAATCTAGTTAGGCTGTTTGGGAATTTCGACTCCGTGTTAATCGTTTGGGAACATGTTCTCTCGGCGTTGGCTACTAATGCGTCGTGCTAGTCTTGTCATTATGCGATCTCATGCTGTAATCACCAATTGTAAATTACTCCAAGATCTCTTTTGGCAATACAAGTGTCCAAGACACGTTCAGGGGCGTCCCTAAGCTAGCATTAAATTAGATCTGTGTACTTTTTTCGTTATCTGCCTCGCACGCGGCAGTGTTCATTATTATTATTAGTCTTTCACCATCAGTAAGAAAGACGAGATATCCCAATTCGGCACCGTATATACTTATACTGCATGTCTCTCCAACTGATCAGAGTAATTTCATTGTTCTCTGCGTAAATGTAGAAACGAGAGTCATTTTTGTTATTATTTTCGTAGTGACAATTGATTTATCAATCGTAATACGTTTTTGTTTTGACCCTCGCTCACTGTATGGACCAGGTGCTAAATAGCTTGGACGAAAACAATACAGCGATTTCGAATCAATCAATTCGTTATTGGTCTCTTGGATTACTAGAGTGTATTTCTTAATTTTCAGGATTCTTCTCTTGAGATACGATTCTATATATTTTAATTGAATATAAGAAACAGAGTATGCTTGAAATTGAATCAGTGTGATACAACAACCAGCAATCTCTGTTTTAAAAAATTAAGAACTCATCCTTCGTTCATAGAAATAAAACAGTGTGCCCATTGACCACTGATCATTCGCCACTCTCGATCCAAGAAACCAATACTCTCTATCGTAAAATAAACTTTCAAAACCATCGAACACTGCCGCGAAATACGAAAGAATCGCGCGCTCGATCGGACGGAAGAGAAAAATTCTAAGTCCTGACTCAGCTCACTTTCGACCGATTTGCGTGAAAACGAAGGCTCGGAAATAAAAGATCTCACTGCTTCGGGTCGGCCCTGCATGGATCGTGTTCAATACATATTGCCTGGCGATGATTAATCAAAAGCGGACCCGACCTCATAGCGACCGACCGTGTAGCATGACCTCGACCTCGTCGATCCGTTCACGGCAGCTTTCAGTCCTAATCAAGACCAACTGTGCTTGTCTCGTTTTTAAGAGCAAGCAAATCTCAATGTTTTAAAGAGGACAGTAATTAGCAAAAAGAACAGAGTCGAAATCTAACCAGAAAGCGTTCAACGGAGCACCTCAATAGAGAGCAAATCGGCCTAACTCGGGCACAGAGCTAATAGTTTATGCTCCCGTGAATGGACGGACGCGGACAGGGTGGGCTGATACGCTGAGCATACACGAAGTAACACGAAAGAGTGTAACCGAGTGCTAATACCGTAACCATGTTGTGAAATTTTAACCCCGCCATATTGCCCGTGACGACTAACCTGATAGCCTAACGATGGGTATCCTTGCAGGTGCCGTACTGCGCCCAATTGGTGAGCAATAGCGCGTGTTGTGTGCATCGGTAATCACGTCACTTCTACCTCACCTATAATCTCTACCCGCCTCTTTTCTTTGTTTATTAATGTCTCTTACTGTTATTGTTTATTGTCCATGACTAATCTCGAGCTCGAGTGCTTTCGTTACTCCTCCTGCCTGCTTAGGTAGCTCTCTAGCACTGGTACCGATCCGTTCCACCGCTTGTCTCCATGTTTCTGTTAACCTTTCTTCTCTGTACTGTTCGTTTTTCTAGACTCTAGTAATCCGCGTGTCCCCGTTTAGAGGTCTTTTCGTTCGTTAATAGTCGCACGCTGGTCACCAGGCTTTCTCTTAACCCTTTCTTCGACTGTGTTGGGTCTACGATCTGTCTATGTCACGTGACTGTCGGAATTATCATTTCCACATAATGTATATTATGGGTATCGAACAAAATTCGTATCGTACGAACGTAACTTCGATATATCAGGATGAATTTCAAGCAGAGATCTTTTTAAAAATCCGAAAAAATATGCCCAAACTCTGGAAGGTATTTTCTATGGTGCATTTAGCCGTCATTTGAGCATCTGTCTCTTTTATTAATTTTTCAGAAATTGTTACTAAACATGCACCACCCGTTTTTACTCGATCACTTTATCGATGATGTTCTTAGCGCACATGGGCATAGAAATCCGGCCCATCTCAGGCCCCGTGATTTTTTCTGCAAGATGACACCCAATATGACATCTAGTATTCATAATTGCTTTGAGAATGGCGCGTGACGTAGACCTGACTTAATATTGCGCTAAGAAAATGTTAATTGGCAGGGTGAATCGCGAGCACGTCGCATGTTTCATACGTTTAATTCTTGTCAAAAATGTTCTTGATCGACGCGTCGGCGATTTTTCATTTATTCGTAAACTAACTCACTGTTCATGAATTACTATCTGTCGATTAATAGAAGAAAGAATGCATACTATCTTTGAACATTGTTATCTTCATCAGATACGAAAATCAATATCATTGGTACCATCGGCCTTATTCGCTACAATATCATTTGTTAACAACGAAATATCAATAGCTGTCAACATTGCAAATTTAGAAATGTTTACAAAATACTAAAATTTCATTTCCATTGATTTTAATTCTACTAGAGTATATCTCAAGGTTTAAAATATTTTTAAGGATAAAAATAACATCGATATCAACTAAACCAATTCAGTACCATTTACTTTATGCAATAACAGAGCTATAGTTCCGCGTTATCAGCAAATCATCGATCGATCGATCAAGAAATGTATGGATCCTCTACTCTGGTACAGTGGCTGAATGCACGTTTACAGAAAAAAAAAATAAAACTCGCATGCACCGACTCACCCCACGCTCTCATGACTAAAACGATTCAACTAACTTCTTTCACTTAGCTCGCACACATTTCGAGACACACTGTCGTCGACATAAATCGAAGATATATAAATCACTTCTGGCCAGTTTATATTTGGTATCGGTCGGGGCGCACGGCGCACGTGGTAACAGAAACACACAAAATACACACAGACTGCATTTTGATTCGTTTCTTTATCTTTATTTTTGATTATGTTTTTTGGTTACACTTGAGCCTCTTTTGCACCCTCCTCTGATCTGCATTCGAGATTCGATAGAAGCACCAAGAGTCTCTTTCTCTCTGTCTATCGAGTGTTGTCCAGCAACGATTCTGGCAAAGAATCCTCGTCAATTTATTAATTGAACAATTTCGATTCAAGCTTCCAAATTGAAATATTGATAAATATATGAAACGGTAGGAAAAACTAGTGTCTCTCGAAAGCAAAATCGCTCGATTCATCGCCCCAATGTTGATCCGTAGAAGCTGTTGAATTTTTGGCACATATTTTCAGTATTCGAATGTGACTTATGAATCTAACGCAGAGAGAACAATTCTTTGGAATAAAACAAATCGAAACTGTTGTATAAAGTTTTCTTCTCTGATGCTTCGTTCTCGAGAAAAATGACTTTGAAAACTGCTACATCGGGCGACACCGGCGGACGCTTGCGGGGAACTACCGAGGCGCCATTGACCTGCGCCGCGCAGCCCCAACAAGTTTTTCAAGCAAATTTTCTCGAAAAGGAAGCCTTGTCAGTAAAAAATGTGTTCTACAGTTTTGATTTATTTTTTGGCAAGAAATCGCCTCCTACTAAAAAGCTGACTATTTGAAAATTACTTACTAAACTGATTTACCCGAGCTATTTTGCCTTCAACAGACTCATGAACGTTACGAGGACGTGAGTTCGTCAGAATTTCAGAATTCTTATGTAGAATAAACGATTTTTGACTCTTTGGGAACGCAAAGTAATGTACTATTAGTAAAGTGTGATCACTAATAGCAATTTCGATGCTTTTATGTAAGATTAAACAAGGAAAAGTAATTCTATTCGTCAGACGGTTATGTTTGTATTCGCAAAGGGTCTAAATGAGATATCGTACTCACTTTGTCAGAGTCGGTGCGAAAAGTAGTAAAAGCCTAGACACGTTGTCGTCAGGTGTCAGATACATACTATGGAAATTCATTGTTTTGTTCCCCGAATGTCTCAGCATGATTGTCGTTAAGAATTCTTGTAATTGTGATCGTGAAGTGAACGTCTCACAAAGAGTCACGTGGGTTAAAGAGAGAAAGGAGTCGGACCGAGTGCGGACATCACGAAGGGACGTGAGCGAGGGCGGATATTCACGTCGATTTCCTGTTTCCACGGCGGAATCGTGGCCAGTTCAATGAAACAATGAATTGCATACTATGTGGAGGATTACCTAGTTTTCCTTCTGCGATGCGAAAAGTCTTGGACTCGCGATTCCCGAAACCAAACATGGCGGCCACTGAAGCGACGCGATATAAAATACACGCTTTCACTTGTTCACTTAGGCAAATTTTCATCTTACGAAAGAAAACTTGTTAAAATTGTTATCAGGAATTTAAATTTGTAACCACCTGACCTCACTTAGCTGAAGGTCACGAGCTCTAATACGGCCTTGGAACAGATGTTTATTGTTTAAAATCGTGTACATATACTGTGGATTGAAATTTCGGTAACTCTTTCGCCATTGCGCGGAATATTTTTCAAATAAACCATTTTTTATCAAACTTTCTGGAGTTCTTTTTAAGGTCTGCTCTCTGGTACTGAACTTCTAATCCGTAGTACGAGGTAAATTTAAAAGAACAGCCCCAAAATTCGAGTAGAGACCTGTATCGATCACTAACGGAGTGACTCTAACAAAGACGGCAAGCTGTAACTCATATAACACAGTTTCAACTGATTAATACTGTGGTAGTATCGCTTGCACTCACCACTACATGGCATTCCATCTACTCAGCTATTGATTCCTATAAACACAGCCTTCCACCAACTATCCGATACCTCAGCGCTTAAAGCAAGGGTCGAGGCGTCCTCCCTTTGGCTCCTGAGAAACAGCATGTCCAATTTGTTAGAATCGCCCAATTTCCCACGATTACACAATGTAGCTGCCCCACGCGATCACCCACAGACGACAAGTAACGCCTTCAGTCGCCAGTATCTTTACCCAAAGCTAAATCAACAAAACCCAAGTGCAAGCAGATACACTGCTCTGTTTTTAAACACACGGCCGATCACTGTGCAATTAACCCTCCACTCGTCAACGTATCGTACCGTAAACAGCACCGAAAGGAAGCGCACACACTCGCGAAGCCCAAGACTTTTCGCGGTGAGAGGGTAACCGTGAAGGGACGAACGCGAAAGACGTTTAAAAGTCGCGTTCCATCCGCCGTGGCTAACCCAGTGTCCAACGAAACTCTCCGTAGGACGGGCAGCTATGCTGCAGCTACGATTACGGCTGCGCTGGCGATCTGGGCGACAACGAGCAGCAACGTCCTCCAGTCGTTGTTCCTGAGCCTCTCGTACGCAGTCTACCGAGCCCTGCGGGGTCACCGATGGCTGACAGTGCACCGGAAGCAGCTCTATCAGCGGTTACTGCTTCCCCCGGTGGTGCAACAGCCGCCAGCACTTACCTCCTGTCCTCCAACGTCCCCAGGAAAGTCCACTGGACCCTGCAGAACACGGCCCCACCAAAGTTCCAGCAACAGAGAGACGATCGCCGTCTCCGGGCGCAACAACTGCAAATCACACCGACGGCCAGGTACCAGTCGGCCGTTGGTGGATCGACAACGCCGTCGTCGACGTCTCACCGTGCTACACCCGCGACGGCGGCGCCGTCGACGACGACGGTCAAGACTCCGATCAAGTACGAAGCCAAATCCCAAGTCCCGTCGCGTCGTCAGCGCATCAAGTCGTCGAGCAGCACCGCGAATCATCGAAGCAACGTGTCCTCTTCCTCGTCCCCGTCCTCTTCGCCTACCCTCGCCATGCTGGTGCCATCCGGGACGGACCTCGACACGGAGGACGACCGTTCGACCAGCAGCACGCCCAGCGACGGTGTCGTCGCTAACGGATACCGTAAATCGACAGCGGGTCGCCATCGTAGAAGCGACAACTCCGAGTCCGTGGCGCGAGACAGCGCCACTTGAGGCAGTGTGCGCCGTGGACAGCTAGAAGAGAAAGAAATCAGCATTGGCAAGGCATTCCAGGGGGTGTAGAAGCAAAACGGGGTACCCCGATACGTAGGAGCGAGCAGAGAAGCGTTCTCTATGGTCACCTGGTCATCCGATGGGTATCGTCCAGAGAAACGAATTGGGGGATGAGTAACTCGAGCAGGATAAGGAGAGGAACTACACGGCCGACCCGCCGGACAATGTTGTGTCAACGATGATCACGGATAACTACGTCAACGACGAGGAGGACGTCTGAACCGGTTCGTCGTGATCCTCGATCTCCTAGGCACTCGACCAGCTTCCACGGATCATCGATCGCGCGAATCGCGTCAGGAGAGACAGTTTCGGAGGTCGTCCATGGTCTGTGCGAGCTGTACAGTGGTGACGGAACGCGCTATGGTGCAAATGGTTCGGAGGGCGATCGGTGTGAGCCGGGCCTCAACTTCTAGTCCGTTTTAGAATCGCGTCTCTCGCGTCGAGCAAAGGCCTTCGAGGATGGTATTTAGCAAAATATCACAATTGTTCGTTGGGATTCGTAGAGGCTGAGCCCATTTTCTCGTGAACATATAGCCGGAGAGTTAGGTGTGCCAAAAACGAGCCTGCCAAGCCAACACCATCAGCTTCTCTCGTCTTCGCGTAACGAGGACGATCTGAGCGCACGGACTTGACGTTTTCGTTCTTTTATTTTCCGTTACCAGCCCGAGTGGGGACGTGGAGAGTCCCTGGGTGCGTCCGTTATTACGTCACCGATTGTCAAACGAAGCCATCGCGTGGCTGATGGGTCAAGCATAAAGTTCAGTAGCGACGACGCGCGCAATCTACTACTGGGTCAAGATTAGCCGCGTGAATCGAGAAACTGAGCCCAACGAACAGAGAGGCGTGTCTGTGAGTGTCCCGAGCAAACACGTAAATGCTTTCGCAATTCCTTTGGCGTATTTCATTGAAAAGGTAGCGCACAATATTTGGGCCTTATAAAGTATATAAATTGTCGATGTTCCGCTATGGGAGAACCTCGTAATCGTACTGTCTAGAACGACGAGAAAACGGCGTATAATTATTCGTAAGGAATTGAATATCCCAACGAGAAGGACAAAGTTATTACATAGGAGAGTTCCGTAATATACTATATAATATATACAAATATATAAATATTATATATATATGAGAATATATATATATATATATACAAATAATGTAAGTATATTCGACGGATATGTGCGAAACATAACGAATCTATCGATGTTGAGTATGTAAATCGGAAGACAACTATGACTATAAAGTATTCTACTATGGATGATCATATCTCGTGACAATATAGATAACGCACGGTAAACTCCGGGAGGCTATATACAATCACTATAGCCCGTGTGTTTTGGTGAATATAGTCTACGCTTGAAAGTAAACTTAAGAAACATTAGGGTACTGATCTGAATTCGTGGAGACTTCAATCGCAACGTTAGAGATCCGTGGTTCAGTTTCTCTGGTTCCGGACGCTGACTGGTTTATGCCTGATCCAGGTATTTAATCATCGAACGCGCAATCTGTGCCTCCGAGGTTAACGAGGCCTTGGCCCTCGGACACTTTTGCACGGTGGAAATCAGAGGTGTCTGTTGATGATCTGCCTTAAAGGCGACCTTGCCCCCGCCCCCATTCAGGGGCCCACTTGTTAATTGGGCAGGTCAATGTTTTAATTGCTATAGTCGCAGGATAAAATGATAAGACACGTTCAGTATTATTGAAAAAAACTATGAAGATGACCAGGTTACTCTATGCTCGGTCAATTGTTCCCCACGCAATCTCATTTAACCAATATTATCAATCTTCAGGTGGTGAGATCAACAAAACTAGTTCATTTCTTTCGAAGGATCATATCTGATTGGCTATAGTAGTTTATCCAAAACAATAACTGATTCCGTAACATCAATGCAGGAGCAATGACGCGAGTTAGACCAATGTACCCATTTTTTTTTCTATAGAATCCAAGATAAGTTAGACCTAGACCATCGTGTGCCGCTAGAAACTCATCAGCACTTCCTCGCAGTAGACTATACTTGCCAATTTTCATTTCATTAAAAGAGAACATACAAATGCCACCGGCATTCAAAAAAAAAAATAATAAATAAAATCATAGCCATAGTCATGTATTTCGGCAGAGAAAAAGAGGTTTCGTTTAGGATGAGGGATTCAGAAAATGGTGGTCGTCGAGGGAACGGCAAACGGACCGTTTAAATAGCAGACACGTCTGACTTTCCACCATGCCAATTAGGTCTCCTGTTCAATTATTAGTTGTACACCGGACGATGAACGTGCCGGCTCGCTCGAACGATTCTTTATCTCGCTCAACCCAACGCGACCACTACGACTACATTCCTCCTTGATTTACAATAAGTAGGCACTAATGAGAGAAACATATAAATATATATATATAAATAATGAAAGAAAGAGATGAATAAATACATAATTAAATAAATAAATGAATAAATAAATAATTATATATATATATACATATATGAAGAGAGAGCACGAGTATATACATGTATGTATACATATACGGAAAAAAGGAACGGTGAAGTACTCGAGTGAATATAGAATTATAACCAATCTCCTGACGAAAGAAAGAAGAGTGTAGAGACTTGTATAACGTGCATTCGAGAGTTCATCGGTAATCGTTTGTTCAATGTGCAATAACTTAACGGTAACGGCTTAATTTGTAAAGGAGACTCCTATTAATCGCGCGGAACCAGCGATGCTCCACGTCCGATGGAGGATTTTATTAAGGCAACACGATATTTCGCTCGTATCGCGTGGCTGTTACCCGGCTTCGTCTTGTTTCTCATGAATATCTCGTCGGTAAATCTTACCACTTCTCACAGAGTCAATTTTGGGCCAAGAGACCTCTGAACAGTCTATTCAGTTCGATCCTTAGAGCTTCGTTTTCTCGGTGTACCAGAAAGTTTGTAAATATTTTAGCAGTTCCAAACTATTCGAATGCTTGAACACTTTTTCTTCTCATTTTCTCGAATCTTGAAGTTAAAATTGTTTGTCGGTAATTAGCAGACAGCCACGCGATGCTTGGACTCCAGACACGTACGAAGTGGAGACGTTTTGTTTCCTCCTTAACGTTATCGTTGCGTGTATACACGCAACACTATAATTTTCGATCGTCGCGCGTACCGCGGAGCCCTATACAATCGTGGTTCGATTTGTAACGATATCGGCTCGCGCTTCATCTTCGTTTCTGATGTCCTCTCGCGCACCAAGAGAAAACCAGCTCGTCATCTTGATAGTAACCGTACGTTGGATACCTCCGTAATGATCGTCAACACCCTGAAGTGAAAAGAGTTTGATTAGCGCGTTACGGGGAACAAAAGAGCGAAAGCAAAGAACGAACGAACCAAGTTGGAGCGATGATCCTCCGCCTTAACCGCTTCGTACGTACTCATATACACTCACACACGCGCACACATACACTACACGTACACAGCTACGACATATTAACGAAAAAAATATCGATGAGAAGCGTGCATCGGCCTGAATAAATCATATTAATTAATATGACTAATAACGCTGTTGCTCCTGATAATTGTATATAGACGTGTAATGTTATAGTAACAACCATTAGAGGGGCGTACATTATACATATTATACATAATACAACATATTATAACGATCGAGACTAAATATCTCGCCGTGCGATTTTGACTACTTAACGAACGAATAAACTTAAACAGCAACGTGTAACACGAATTTACTGAGGAGCGACGGAAGCAGGATGCTGACGACGATGCAGACACGATGACGGGAGAGGAAGGGAACGTCCGACGGGTCGATCGTTTTAGATGGGTGGGTCGAATCGAAATTGTCAGGTCGAATCTCGATTCGTCGCGTTTAGATCAGCTGGCTTCCCTACCTCTGTCGTTCTAACCTCGCTTTCGTTCTCTCCGCGGCGTTCGTCGCATCCTGGTCTGAGAACGACGCGAAGAGATCGACGCATCGTGCCCGTAAAATAGTATACAATTAAACTACAAGTAATAGATCGTATTACCTATTGTATTATCGATATCGTGTTAAGCATGTACGACTAATCTCGAGGATCGAGGGGGATAGGACGGGACGGGACCCTGCGAGGTTGCCCGGACACCTAGCGGCGGGCTCAACCGTCGACCGTCGCGCCACAGATGACGAACGTAACGAAATGATGGAACGTATTTGGCACAAAGAAAAACCGAGAATCGTCGAGGATTAGCTTTATAGGTTACTATAAAGTGTACATTAGATGTAACGTTGCGTACTCGGGAAAGAAACACGAGCAAGAATGTCTCGTTGCCAGGAGCCACGGGGTTGTGGAGATCGATAGATTTCGATCACTTGCACTTTGATATGACGCGACCGTAGGCTTAAGATACCGTTAACGGAACACCCAACTTTGCAACGAAACGAGAAAGTCGATGGAAAGTCTACCTTTCGCGACGTTCGAGGACATCTCTCCCATTTTCTAGAACCATTGCCAATGCCCTGAACAAGTTTTAGCCCGACCACTTTCATTATTCCTCACCGTCGTGTAGCTGTCCTCGATGGGACGCTACGAACGCCATTTTGATCATCGTCACGAATCCTTACGGGAAGCTGACGCCTCGTCTGGCAACGAGTCATTCACCCGTCCGATCATCCGGCGCGTTGTTCTTCGTTCGATTAGACGAGCTAGACAGACAGGTCTCGTAATCAGGTAGGTAGGTTAGGTAGGTCGATAGATAGGTAGATACCTAAAGGCAGGGCGGCGATAGGCAGAGACTACGGTCGCGTACCGTTGTTTCGTGTTTGAAAAAAAGAAAAAAACCAAAACCGAAAATAAAAGACACCGATCCAACTGAGGACGAGGGGATGTATCTGCCAGGAGAAACCTCGAGGATGACAGAAGGAGGAGGAAGAGGACGGAGAACAAAAGAACTCTAAACAGACTATTAAAGTAGTTAAGGAACACCGAGATCAGCCGGAGGGACTTCTTTTATAGTGTTACCTAATATTAATACCAGTTTACCTAATTACTATACCGAAGTAACTACTACAACGACTATTAGTAAGCGCTTATTAAAAAGAGATTAACGAAGATCTACTACAGCCAGCCTAGTCCCAGTTTAACCTGTGCTAACCGTAGACGTTACTACCGTTACTATCTACCGGCACTAATGTTACTATCATCGTCACTGTTTCGTTCGATCGTCGTTATGTGTGATCAGAGTGGTGTCTGCGGTACCACCCGTGGCCCCAGCCCTCTTGGATACATAAAAAACACAACCGGAGTACCTAGTTTAACGGGATACTCTTGGCGGGGGTAGCCTTTCAGCGATTATTCCAAATTGTAACGTTTCTTCGTGAGCTCGAGCCCCGTCGAAGCCCCCTTCCACGCGTTTTCAGGTCCGAACAGACCAGTAGTCCCAAAAAAGGAGCCACGGGAGCAGCCGCTAAGCCACTAAACGATGTAAACACCAATGAAAACGAATCAAGCGAAGCGCTGTTAGCGTTTACCGTCGACACACTCACTAGTGGCTGGCGCGATCATCACTGCCGGGACTATCATCGTCATCTTTGTTCATTCGGTCATCCGATCAGGGTACAGGCGGCCGACAGTCGTGGACGACGAGTTTCTAATTGTTAACCCGTGCTACTAACGTTACTTATTCTATACTAATATCGATACTGTCGCTATAGTCGATACGCAATACTATGGTCGTTTTTCGTACAGTCGTCGAGAACGTCGCGGACATTATACCGGGGGGTTCGAACCAACGCGACTGGGACGAAACGTACGCGAGCGCTACGTCTGCGCCGCCCTTTGCACAGGTGTACGCTACCTGGTGATGTGATGTCGGTGAATTCGCGATGGGAACCTCGCTCTTCCAGCGTACCTTGACCATTTTCGACTGCCGTACTTTCAAACCTTCGTCGCTGTTTCGTCAAACCGCTAGGGAACCTGGGCAGTTGGACCCCCCCTTTGGTTAAGAGACGACACCCTGTCATTCTTTTTGAAATTTTGTCGAAACAGGACACGTAAAGATGCGTGAAACAACGGGGATTATGTGTAGCGGGGTCAGATCGTTTACACTCGTTCATGAAACCGCGTGGTCAAATGTAAAGCTTACATGAAATATTATCGTCATTTTTCTGTTGTCGAACTTCGTTGCAAAGAGTGAGTTTCAAGACGAGAAAAGAGGAGTAATCAGAGGAGAGTAGAAAACAAAGAGACGAGTGTAAGCGATCGAAGAACGCTACGTTAATCATAGTCCTGGATCAATTTGTCAACGCCTTCTCGATCTTTCATCGACCTTATGATGTCATATCACTAATATCGCGTCGTTTCCACCTGTCTTGTCCTTCCTCCTACCCCATAACCTTCCTTCGATGGCTAGTATCGAGTCCCCTGACCGGCCTAAATTCATTTCTACTCATTGCTCACGATTAATCCGTGCGACCATGCGATTGATGACCAGTGAGGAAACCGTTCAATAATTCGATCAGCGTGACTGAGTAGAAATATTGCAACAGCGAATGAACAAAGACTGAAGACTCCACGTTCGTTCAGCCGAGGCTCCTCTGAATGTTCTGAAATTCACTCAAATCTAACTTCAACATTTGAACTAGATGTACCAGTCTTAGAACTGATCCAAATTGTTAACCTAGATAAATCTACTTTAACCCGAACCTTAGTTTAAACAAGGCCTGGAACAGAGTTACTTGAGCTACTACTAAATTTAGTTTAACATAATCTATTCCCTAACTTGATCTACATCCTACAGACCTGGTCCAAGCATAACTAGTTTAACATAGACCCTAACCAATCAATTCAGGTCCAATTTGAACGTAACTATCAGGCCTATAGATTAAGCGAATCGTCACGAATTACGCAGTTTCTCACTGGTCACCATCGGCGCGTTTACGTCGGTCATGGACCGAGGCTTGGTGCAGAGAGGAAGGTGTAACGAAGAATACGTGTAACTCTCGGATCAATAAGATCCGGGATGCCATAAGAAAACGTGTATCGAGCGTCGTCGGAACGATAAGTTCGTTCGATTTTGCAGAAGCGATGGCAACAAATTGTACAGCTTCGTTGGCTTCTCTTTAACTTGGCGACTTGGACATGTCAACGAACTGAACCGAAGTCGAACCGTATTGTACACCTTCGAGCATAATTCGATTACGTAAATATATCCTTTCAGTACTTCACCAATTCTTCGTTTGTCTTTGAAATTACCATTCGACTCCACGAAGATGGCACACTGTAAAGTTAAAGTCGTAAAAAGCGTTTGTTCGCGAGCCCCGATAGAAAAAATCGACCAAACGTCCGCAAACGGGCATTATACATCGGCTGAAAGTTTTATTGCAATTCCCTATTCGCACGTTATTCGCGCAAAAGCTATCGAGACTCAGTTCCTCCATTGTCCAAGAGTCGCTAGACTTGACGAAATTGATTTCGAATTGAATAATTCCACGACGACGTCCATCGCGTTTCCATGCTTGTTGTGCGACGAATGTTTCTATGTACGTGTACAACTTTAACTTGATAGCCTACGAATAGGGACGGATCCAGATTCTTAACAATGAAAGGTGGGGGAGGGCGTAGAGATCGCACGAACCCTGTTACAATATTCGAACAACGCCGAAATCGCCGAGAGAACGATTTCGTGGGGGCAGCTGCGACGAGAGCTTGATCGAACAATAAAATTTTACTTTTGATTTTCTCGAGTCCTTCGTTCGAATTCGAACGGTCCTACATCTCCCCCCACCGCCACACCTGCTGGATTCGCCCTCGCCTACGAATTATTGTACGGTACCGCCGTGTAAGAGTGTAAAGGAGTTGATTTTCTAGTCAGGTACGAGTTACAAAATAATTTTACGTTGGCAGTCAGTAATTTTTACATTGCTGTGAATATGTAAGACGTTTCTTCTTCTTTCCGTTAATTTTCTTTTCATCGTCGCGTCCAGACGAGCGATCTTAAACAGACACGAACACACATACACACGCGTGTACACGCATACACACAAACACACATACACGTCGAGAAACAACAGAGACGGCGATTATAAGATACGATTTCGATTAATATATTAATTAAGGATTATTCTTATTATTATTATTGCAAATGATTATGAGTATGGTTATTATTGATTATTACCATCATCGATTATTAGTTACTATCACTACAGTCATATAATACCTTTGTAAATGAGAATCAAGACACTGACGGCTAGGGAAAAAAACTTAATAAATTGAAATTCTATTAACCCAAACGCGTTCGATTGTTATTCCGCCGCTACGGTTGTGTCTCTTCCTCTTTCAGGTGGAGTGAGACGTTTCGTGGACTTCTGTATTCTACTCGAAACTATGGAAGGTAAGATGATCGTTGTAAACGACTCAGAAGACTTCGAAAACTATCATTAAATCATGCATAAGAGTGTAGAACATTGTTTCTGCCACCAACAGCACATTAAATACCAGAATTCCCCTTCGATCCTGTCTTTTAAGTTACAACAGAGGTAAAATGAGAGTTGGATTTGTGTGAAATTTCGAAAAGAATACAGTACGCTAACAATAAGTCAAGAAGTGTCTGCGCAAGTGTCCACGAACACACCTAACTTTGTTCGTGGCTACGTTTGCTTATCGTTGTACTATTCAGCTTATATCGGTCCAGGTTATCGACTGCGTGCAGACTATTGTTCATCTATCAAAAGACTGAATCATGGGCTTCGTCGTAACATCCGTTCTTCTCAGTGAAAATGCAATCTCAGACGTTCCCATGTTTATTCCATGACCATAGTTCGAAATAGGGTTGTACTTTCGAACGACACAGGTAGATTACGATGAAACTTACAAGCAACTAATAAGTTTGAAGTTGAAGTGTACAACTATAAAGTAGACTAATGTATGCTATGATATTCTCAATGCCTTGCCAAAATGTCAAATAACTAAGAGCTGATACAAGGCTTACCTTCTATTTGACAATCGAAATTTTAACACAGATAAAAAATTTCCTCGTGTTATCAGGATTCTAATTTAACTACCAATGAACCTTGTATTGCTAATCTTTTATCATGTGTCTTTGGGTTTTTTCTATGCTCCTCAAGTATAGTACAAATGATACCGAGCTCTTCTCAATTTGTCAAACGTTACCATTTCAATAACTGACATACATGAATACAATGAATTTCAATAAGAATTCTGTTATTGATGTATTCCATTCTTTAAGTATTACAGCGTTATGTTACCTCGTCATCTTTTGATAATTCTCAATACCTTCATAGAAACAAGAATTTTTCTAGGAAAAAATGGCCTGGTTATCCATTTCTTAAGAACATGTGATACGTTCTATTGTAACTCTCCTCGTCTGATTTAAGCATAATCAATCTAGTTGACGAGTAACACACGTAAGAGAAAGGAGTATGTTTAATAAGCGTCAATATGACGTTAATCATCTTTTTAAAAACTGTACAAATAAATTTGCTTCAATAGATATTTACGCAGAATTTTGAAATCATTCAGATGCTGAACTTCCTAGACCTCTGCTTGATTCATACATCCAAATGATGAGTTATTGCAGTAATATTGAAAAAAAGAGATAGTCATCTAAACAGATATTCCTGAGATATTAAACTTCCTCCGCAGATGTCACATATTCCCTCAAAGGACCGATCGTGTAAATTATTCTAAATAGAACGCTATGAATAATCGTAACTGCATCGATCAATACAGTTTGCACCCTCATCGAACGCGATGATAGAGGTAAATTAACTAGCACAAGTGTGACGAAAGGCAACGTGGTGTTAAAGATTTCGAAGTCTTGGCTTTGTCAGGCTATCAGGCTATCTTGACTCTGGGGAGTCAAACACCCCTAGCAGATACCAAACCATCCTCCGAGATATAAATATTTAATTGTTTCAAAATAAAATGGATAATCTTGAGGATACTGACAAGTTCAATTCTAACAATGGAAACCATAAATCCACATAGTCGAACGTTAGGACAAGTACAATAATACTCGCAAGAAAAAGTAGTCTACACACATGTTCCTGTATCAAACTGCTTCTAAAGATACCGAACGTTTCCCCTAAGGACTTAACATACAAATTAATCTAAATAGAATGCTATGAATAAATCATCGTGTCGATCAATACCAAACTATTAGACAACATTCTTGCATAAATTACCAACACGATCGAACCGTAACAATCTCAGCCCTTTGAGACCCATTAGGCTCAAGAAACTCGATCGATCCACCTGTCTCCAAAAAATAAAATTGATCTATCAGGATCTCGGTCACTTCTATCGACTGTCAAACAAGTACTCTGCTATAAGCAATCAGTGTTGAGGAAGTCATCAAGGGAAATCCAAAATTCTGTGACTCGATGATACCCCTGGACCTCCAAAATCTAGGACACTCCTGGAGCACCTCAGAGCATGCGCTGATCAACAATATCAGCTGCATGACGTACGCACGGTCGTTCGACGAGATCAGTGTGTCAGCTCTTTCGTCGCGAAGGAAGTGGTGAACGCAATCAGTACGCGTCATCGTTTATTAGCGATGTTACCAGGCAAGGATACGCGGGTGTACCTAGCGGTCGTACGCCTCGCGACGTGTCAGTCCAATCGCGTCGAGCGACCGAGTTCGACGCACTGCGTGCACCCTTCCACATGACAAGAGTCCTTCTAGATGCAGGTCCACGAAAACGGTGTCGCACGAGACAGTCAGACTAATCATTCGCGATTGACCGCCATGGCCAGCACGAGGGACCTGACAGAGATGACCGCGGAGCAGCTGCAGGAGTTCCTGGATTCGTTCGACGTTGTCCTATCGGATTGCGATGGCGAGTGTTACCTCTCCAGTTGTCACAGACGGAGATCCAGATGAAGATATTAGAGTCATTCGACCGTCTGGTTTCGGTCTAGAGCTGATAGTGGTATCATTGTTATTGTATCAGGTGTCCTATGGCGCCTCCAGGACCCGATCCCTGGCGCGATGCAGACGGTAAACAGGTTAAAGGAGCTGGGGAAGAAGGTGTATCTTGTGACGAACAACAGCACGATAGGCATCGATCAATACTGTGAGAAAATGGGTGAAGGTGGCTTGAAAGTAAAACCAGTGAGTAGATGATTTTCTCTGCCAGTGACCTGGTCAGTTTCGAGGCGCGAGAGTGATAGAAATGTTTGGTAATGATGAGTATGGTAGATGAACGCATCCATGCCACGACTAGCACCGATGTATGCGATTGGGCATACTTTATTCCAAAAATAGGAATTGATGCATGAGATTATTACACATATTTCAAACTATAGGTGGTGGTGTGCATGATAGTTGAGCATGTCGTTCAAATAGTAGTGCAATATCTTGTTAGGTATCGTATGTACATGTGGAACTAGTGTGACTGACAACAAAAGGCCTCAAATTTGTTTTGAATGGCACTACGTGAAAATTATAGTCAATACTTTTTCTAAAAAGACATCTAAGTTCCTTCAAAATGTGGTTTTGTTTTCCAGATATTTTAATGTAAACTTTATTGTATAAAATATGCACCCGTGAAGGTAAAGCTTATCATCTATCTTCTGTATAAATTTTTATTATTTAAATGCAGATGCTATAACGTTATCTTACAAAAATTTCAAAGTTAAAAGACCATTTATTATACACTCTAGCGTACTAAGAAAATGTTTTTCCATATTGAAATGTACCTTGATGCTATGCAACATGATATCGTCATTAATTTTTTACGAAGTTTTCAACTCATTTTCATAGTCGTAAAGTTTGTTCTTTTACGTCATAACATACAGAAGCATTTTTGCATTTTATTTAAATATTGTGCGACGTGAAATATTACGCAACTTTGGTACTTTAATTACAAGCTGTGCCAAATATATACATACATAGTAAAATTCATTTGCGAATTCTCAATAAATTGATATTCAAAACGCAACAGAAAACGTACTATCCGTCATCTGTGCATGAATATTTATCATTATCGATATCATAATAGAGATGCAAAAACGGTTTCGCTAAACATTTTTTTGAGTTTGACAGTATATATGGAAGCAATAACCTTATCTCTTACGAACGTACACGTAATTGCTCGTACTGTGTGAATATCCTATTTCTGTAGCTGGTACGTGGTATTAGTATGGTTCGTATGTGATGTAATAAATGATATTTGAGAGTTGTACGTGCCTCATTTGTGTGTGTTGTATTTGGTATTTATATGGAGTGTGTATGCTACATCTACTTGTAAAATTGTACAGTATTCAACCAACACCTAACTCCGACTCAAGCATAACGGACAGGGAAAGACAGAAATCCAATTTAAAAATATTTTATAAACTTATTTGCTTAACTTTTATTAGCTGTCTTTTCACGTCTTATCTTTACGTTCCGCGACCACGATAAAAAAGGCAACTGCTCAGACTATTATTACACACCATCTCAACATCATAAAATGTAACATTTTGTAGGATGATATAATAAACACGGCGAAAGTGATCAGCTGGTACTTGAAGAAGATCAATTTTCGCGACGAAGTATTCTTGATCGCCACCACACCGTTTCGACAGATTTTACTCGAGAATGGCATCAAACTGGGGCCCGAAAACGTGAGTATATTCAGATTAATGTATTCTTTTCGAAGAGCAAACAATTTTTAGCAATATGCTCCATGGAATAGCAAAGAATCGGTTCTAAAGTTTCAAAAGGTTTCGAATTATCTAGCCTGTTTAAGAGCCTGATAAAGAGCTTCTCATTGGAATAAAAATTTTGCAAGTTATATTACAATCCAAGGACTTAAAAAATTGTTTAAAATCAAGGGAATGTAAAATTGTTGGTGTCTTCCTTTAGCTAGAAGTGACAGAATGGGACCAGGCGGCGACGGTAAAGACAGTACTGGGTCTGCCTTCGATCAAAGCAGTGATCGTTGATTTTTCTATATTTTTTGACTGGGCGAAATTAGCTTTCGCAATTTCCTGTCTGAAAAGGAAGGACGTTCTGTACCTGACCGGTGCTCAGGACGAGTGGATCATTTGTGGGCACAATATAAGGGTCTTAGGTACTGCTTTATATTGGTAAATTCACATCATTAAACACGATAATAATAACAACTATTATTTTCCAGGATCTGGTCCTCTGATCGATATAATTACCACGAAAAGTGGGCGAACGCCAATCCAATGCGCGAAACCTAGCGAAGTTCTGAAAGAATACGTCCTAAAGAACTGCGAAGTGAAGGACCCGAAACGATGTTTAATCATCGGCGATACGTAAGTTCGATTTTTTATTATGATAATCACGATCGTTACGATATCTCATCGTTTCAGGATACAGCACGATATGAAATTCGGAACATTGTGCGGATTTACGAAGCTCTTCGTCGACACAGGCCTCGACAAAATAGAAGAAGCGACGCAGAATCAGGAAGTGCGACCAGACTTTTATATTCCTAGTTTAGGGATGCTGTGCCCTATTCTCGATTCTCTGCAGAACCCCACTGTGAACGGGATACACAGTTAACGACGACGCGATAGTTAAGAACTAATACAAATTACTGAAAGTTATAGATCGAGTGAAAACGAATATATGAGATTGAGAAAAAAGTCTACGCAGAAATTCAAGTTTCGTTTATTCATGGATCGCTATTCTTCATTATCGAATGTTTTCGGTAAACGTAAAGAAATGTTACTGTTAGGAAGTATATTAACGAACGAATTTCCGTAGATAGTTTCTTGCCAATCTTGTACACGAGAACTGGTTGTGCCTGGGTGAGGTCTTTTCCGAGCATCAAAACTGGTTTACTCAAGTTGAACTCGAAAATTACATGTCTTCCTTTTCAAAAGAAATCTTATTCCTATAAATGGACGACTCGTCCGATGAGAAAAGGAATTTTACAAATTGAACAGTACCGAAACTGTTTTTTGAATCGAGAAAATGAAATGGAAGTTCAAGTTGGTTTATGCTTTACTAGTGAGACTAATGCTACAAATACTACAAAATTAAATACGTTCTAAACCAGCAAAGGAATAAACTTCATTCTGCTCGAGTAACTTTTGCGCACGAAAGAGGCTCCGAGGCGTTCACGTGTTCATTTGGTATTCTCAGATCAATTTAGAATAAATAAAATGAAACGTTAAACAGAATATTGTCTTTCAAATGTAGAGTGCCTACATATGATCAATAAATATTTACAGAAATAATTTTACTAATTAAACAAAAAGACAATAGTATTAATTATGTTCCAAAGTTAAATACAAATTATTTAGACGATATTAGAAGTAAAATAAATTTATTTATGTTTAACTACTTTACTGTAATCGAGAGGAATAATAAAATATTATTTGTATACAACACATTCGTATTTTTAATATTAAATTTCAGCACTATTTTGAATAAGTAATGATGATCAAATAAAAAGCAAAAACTAATGAGCTTGAAATCATCTTAGCTGATATATTCCCCGTCCAATTCGAGTTTTCCACTTTTCTTTGGCTCTCGGGGTAATAGATGTCACAATGATATAGGACGATTCTTTCAAATGCAGACTCGAAAGGAATGTTGCTTCATCCATTGGTCGACGATGACAACTACTGCACCAGACACAACTCTAATTGTAAGAGTGTAGGCAGGAACATTCCTCTCGAGTCTACTGGCAAGAGAATCGCCCTATTCATAGCCTCATTCATGAACGAACAAAATTCTGTAAGCGATTTCTGTTGAATTTCTTTGCTACTTTTTACATTTTTACTTTGAATTCTCTGGGCCTCAAAAGGTGAGAAAATCGATTAACGAAAAATCTGAGCCAATTATATCATGTCCCGATACCTTCCACTTCAATTTCTTCGTAGTTTGTTCGTGTTTGACAAGTCTCGTGCGACCTAATGTCATCTTGGCCAGCCAAAACACGTGTAGCCGACCGTCAAGTTTGCACACGAGACTCTCGAGTATCATTTAAATGTTACACGTGTGCTAATGGTGTCAAGTCCACAAGCATCATTAATATTCATGTCGCCTTCTTCAGCCATTATACCCGTTAAAAACTCTGTTTCCTAACCATCAAACGAGCGGAACGAGACACTCAAAGCGATGAAAAGTGAAACTAAATTTAAATAACTTCCCAAGTAACAAAATCGTGCTGAGATTTAGTTAACAGCCTAATACTTTCATGTCACCCTTCAAACGTGTCACTCGAACTGAGAACACAGATTCCAGAGCCACTGTCGCAACTAATCGAGGCAGAACTGGACCACCGAGAATCATCTCGTGCTATCACGAGCGCCAGCCAGATGCTTCTGCCATGATACGACTGGGTAGTGGTTCTATTGAGATAAAAAGTTATCGAGTTTAGAAAAATTAGCCAGCAGACACGTGATAATTAAGAGCATCGGCGATTCACTGGCGCCGTTGAGTGAGTTCCTAGACGACTGGTGGACAGCGCACAATCGTCTACGATGGAGGCCTGCGCCCGATAATGTCGCGGAGTAGGGCAGAGGGAGTCGACGCGTTGCATAATATCAGCAGAGTCGGTAGGAGTCGGAAATGTGCGAGGAACGCGGGTGAATCTGCCACGCCGCGCGTCGAACAACTGTATCCTTTCGCAGGGGACACCGGTATCGAAGGAACATGCAAGGACACCCGGTAGGTTGATTCTCTTTAAGCCTCTTTCGATACAGAATTCGTGGTGAAGTTATTTCGTGGGTTACGACGACGACTGACGGGACACTTTCAGTGATAAAATCCAGGATTTATGTTTGATAAAAAAAAATTGAATCTGAAGTTTGTGAAGTTTGGTTGAAAAGAGGAATTGTAAGCAACTAATTCCGAAGGTGACGAAGACAGAGTGTTCGCGAGAGTTTTGAGTTCTACCTTGGGGGTTTACGCAAAGATTTAATTAGAAAAATTAGTTACTCCTCTGTGGGCAATGTAATGAAGCCTACACTGTTTCTGTTAGATTCTTAAAAATATTATAAATTGAACTTGCGTCTAAAAACTACACAGATAAAGTAATCGTAGGATTTTTGGGTAGTTAAGGAGAATAAGTAAAATATGGGGGTTTCGAAATATATGAAGCTTCGATGATCCACGAAGAGATTTGTGCAACTGCTAAAATTATTCTGAGCGGTCTATTTCTATTGACAGAAACAAACTTCCTTCCGGGATAGTACCCAAAAAGAGTAAAGAAATAAATAATCCACTGTAAGCCTCTTTGCCTAGACCGGAGGAGAATTCGATTAAGAAACATTGACACAATACTCAGTAGCGGCGTCACGTGTTTGGTAGAACTAGAAGCACTCGAACACGAACTACAAAAACAAACGTGCAAATAAATGGTCATCGTTTGCTGACGTATAAAAATGCTTATTCGATGAAATAACTGTGAAGATAATCATTTTTTCGATCAGTGTAAAACGTTCTTCGATTCAGATTGTAATTTTTATTGGAACAAACAACGTATCAAATTCAATTTTTGTTCATTATGCGAAACTTGTATCTAAAAATTATCCTACCAGTCTAGAGATTAATGTATCAGACGTCTAGATTTGTCACGTTATCAGTTAAAGCTACCAAGATAATACAAAAATATAAAACGACTTCCGATGATCTTGAAATCACGAGAAAAGTGACCTAGAAAAAAGATAGTCATTAATCGGATTGTTTGTTGTTTCAAAATGAGTCATTTCCTTCCTGTACGTCATATCATGCTCCTGATAACAAAGAAGATAATGACAAGATTATGATCGACACACTGCACCTTTAAATTAGTAGAGTGATCTACGAATACCATACAAATAGTTCTTCGATTATAGAAAAATTCGAAAAGTGGTCCCAATACAAAATTTACTTCTTTAATATAATTCAAGAAATAATAATTTTTAATCGAGAATTATCTCGCCCTCAGGATTGGCGACCCACGGTGGTGGTGACGTGCAGTTTGACTATAGTTCTCCTAGTGATCATGTGGAACATAAAGAGAAATTGCCCAAGCAAGTCGAAAAAGACGGCAGAGAACGACACAAAGGAAGACGAGGAAGTTCACGAAGAAATCATCTGCAAAAATAACATAAATCACAAAGTCGACGTTGCGGTGTGTCCCAGCAACGACACGATTCCCGAATTACCCGATCCAAAATGGATGAAAGTGGGTCAAATTCAAGAGCTATACGCGTACCCTTTAAAATCTGGGCGAGGACAGGACGTGAAGGAATGCAATTTCACAGAATTTGGCATAAGTATTGAGAAGGAAGGGCGGTTCACCCTTCGAGACAGGTGAAACTTTTTGTATTATTTACTCAGATACTCGATGCTCTAGAAAATCTCATTTGACTTCAAACGCGTCACTTTAAACCGTTCATCTATTATTTAACATTCATTAACGATGCACAGCGTAAAATAAAGTCATTAGACCTATCAAGTTGTTTCGTAGGCCTGTATAATACATGCAATTGAGAATTGCAAACATGAATCTTCCATAATTTTGTTCGACATAATCTGAATACGTTGTTTTACAATCCGTGGCATCGTAAACAAGTTATGAAAAATTAAAATTCTGCACGCGTGAGCGCATGGAGAGATGATGGATGAGCGCATGCGCAGTCCCGCGATCAGCTGATATCAGCAAAGTTTAACTGCTCGTATCTTGATAACGAAGTTACGGATTGCAAAATGGTCAACAACTTATCGATTTTTTTTCGCGAGATGATTAAACGTTTATAGAATAATTTTACGATCGCAATACTTTACGATGTAATTTATGAAATTTCATTGTTTATCAGAATGTTTCTAGTGTACAACGAGGAAACTGGCCGCTTCCAAACTGGAAGACAATACCCAACGCTGATTCTAGTTAGCCTGTCCGCGGTAGACGAATCCAAGGTGAAACTCGAAGCCGTAGGGATGCCCAGTGTAATTTTCAATGTGCCAAAATGTTCAGAGGATAGTCCCGAAGCCGTTCAATGCACCATGTGGTGGGGAGAGTCAGTGAAGTGTATCGATTGTGGCCCAGAACCTGCTGAATGGTTATCAAGGTTCGAAGAACACGACCACGTTAGAAGCATAGAAAAATCGATCTCTTGAATCAATCACTACGCTTCATTCGTTCTAGATTTTTAACTGGAATAAATTCCGGATTACGATTGGGCTGTGCAGCGATGGACAGACGAAACATTTCCGTTGGTCCCTGGGAAAAGTACACAGAAGTATACAAGACTCTCAGGAACGAGGACACTGTAAGTTTTAATGTTCGAATATTTCGAACGAACCATACTTAGAACAAATATCTTTCAGGGCTTGTTCAGCGATTTGGCCAGCTACATGCTGATGTCTACGCGATCCGTCGAGATGCTGAACGAGAAACTGGAGAGACCAGTACCTGCCTTACAATTCCGTCCGAATATTTTGGTTTCTACGCAGGAACCGTTCGAAGACGACAACTGGGAGTGGATAAAAATTGGCGAACGAGTTGTGGTCAGAAACGTAAAACCGTGTACTAGGTACGAGAGAAACATTTTCAAATTCTAGCCTGTAAAAAATTACTACTAACTAAAAAAAACTGAAGTATAGTGCTATGTGCTGACATTCTACGGTAGTCGAGACAGTCATTGATTACTCAAAGCCAATTATTCTTCCTCCATGGCATGCCAACTAACCCCACGTTCGAGTGGCAGTACATGCTTGGTCATGAGGGAGAAATTATCACACTGCATGGTGGGGATAGCGTCTTCGTGGCCTTCAGCGTCTAGTTCATTTTGATCTAACGAGAAATGAAAAGAACTAACACTGATGTGTAATCGAAATTACGTGATCAAAGAAATATTAACTAGAAAAAATAGGTAGATACTGACCGAGCAAGGGTAAACTACTAACCGAATATATTCGAAATTAAAAGTTTCGTTTCCCGGAAGTTTCGTGAAGATTACCATCGTTGCAGGTGCAAATTAATTCAAGTAAACCCTGACACTGGCATTATGGATGAACAGGAGCCAACGAAAACTCTAAAAACGTATGATCATTCAATACTATCATTGTTCAACTGAACGTGAAACGTTCAAGGCTCCATTTTCTAAATTACAAATCAAAAATTTGCTCTGTCAGTTTCATTGCATGAAAATTTATATTATCTTCTATGTAATTTTTATATGTGAAATATATTATTTTGAAATGTATTATTTTTGCATTTGTGCAAATTAAACATTTCCTATGGAAGTGGGAAAGTCAAAGAAATTTTTGACTGTCGATTTTCAAATTCTTCTAAAACTGATTAAACCTATTCGTTCTCCGAGTGAAAAACTTCTCGATCATTTTCAGCTTTCGAGAACAGACAGCCCCGGAACGAGTTGCGCTCGAAGGAAAATTACCAACAATGGGAATACTCTGTGGACTATACGTTCCAGGAAAAGTAAAACTTGGAGACGATGTATTCGTTCATGTGCCTAATGATTCCACCGTAGAAACGAATCATCGGGAAACCACGAGCTAGAAAGTAGGTTAAATTTAAAAACGCGCCACTAACGTTAACCCAGCAATTTGGAAACGAATACTTCGAAAGTGTTTCCTAAAAAATTCAGGTATTAGAAGACAATACGATATACAATTTTTGATTACAATTATTGTTGACGAGATGTTAAACCAGATAAATAAATAAAGCTACGATTGTTATAAAAAGACTAAACTATTTTATCCGGCGGAGCTGGCCTCTGCTGACCATTCCTAATACTTCCGACAACGTATAACGATTACTACTTGCTACTGCTAACCTCTCCCAGCCTCTGTTGGCCTCTCCTGACCTCCGCTTATATTTCTGACAACGTATAACGATTACGACTGACTTCTGCCAACCTCCGTTGGCCTCTGCTGACCATTGCTGATCTCTACATGCCTTTACTGGTGGCTGACTTGAGTTAACAGGTAATGTCATAAAATTGTTTTACCTACTTATACCCCTTTTTACCCCAACTATAAGGTACGACTAAATGTACTTTCGAATTTTCCTACAATCCTCCGCCGGCCTCTGCTGACCGCTGCTGACCACTCCTGTTACTTCTGACAACGTACAACGATTACAACTTGTTATTGCTGACCCCTGCTGACCACTGCTGACCACTGCTGATCTTTGTTAACAACTTCTGATATGACGTATATGTATTAAAACTTTGTATAATGTAAATCTATGGCAATAAATGAAATAATTTCAAAGAATTCTATGTCTTTCCATCATTTAACCTTTCTTTTCCTCTCCAAATCATTGCCTTAACTAAGGTAATGATTTGGAGAGGAAAAGAAAGGTAAAAAATGATGAGAACACATAGAATTCTTTGTAATTATATCATTTATTGCTATAGATTTACATTATACAATGTTTTAATACATATATATCATGGCAGAAGTTGTTAACAAGGGTCAGCAGTGGTCAGCAGGAGCAAGCAATAGCAAGTTGTAGTCGTTATACGTTGTCAGAAGTATGAGGAATGGTCAGCAGAAGCCAGCAGAGGCTGCGAGAGGCTGGCAGTAGCCAGTAGTAATGGTTATACGTTGCCAGATGTATCAGAAGTGATATCTGAAATGATATACATATGTACTCTCATACATAGGAATAATAAAAAAGAATTTATTTTTTTTCCTCTCTCTGACTCCCACGAGGCGGTCCGAAAATACTTCGGGCAGCTTCGGAGAATCGAGAAAGAGGGCATGCGTCAGTTTGCCTCTGTCGACTCTCCGAAACTCCACGAGCTCACGTACGCGTGATCTGGCATAGTGTGAGTAGTGCACCCGGTGCTCAATCTGGCATCATTGGTTTAAGGATCACTAATACAAGTGTAGTGGAACAGCTGTGCGCAGCGAATGACCTTTTGCGCATGCACGTGGCGCATCTCGATGCTAAAGTGGGGGTAACTTCTTTGTCGGTAGCGTGCGTCCATCAGTCCATTTAGTATTCAGTAGTATAACAAAGCCTCGTGCTATTAAGCGTATACACATACACAAATAGCAGAGGCTTCATGGAGTGATAAGAAATGGCGTCAGAAGTGGGAAAACGTGATGCATTCGTAGTCCTCTCCTCTTTTCATCACTCGCCACTTTAAAACACAAGATACTACACATTCGGGTACAATGTCGGCGGTAAGGTTATTGTACACGTCCTGTGTCATCGTTTTTGGGCTAATAGTGGTGTGCAGTCAACGTATAAAGCAAGACGGTAAGTGTAAACAAATTTAAAAATTTCTAAGCTATAGTAGGAATTCATAACTAAAATTTTAAATGCGGAGTAATATTTCCGTATTATAAGGGAAATGAAAAATTTTCTAGCCTTTCAGAGCACTCTGGGCCACATAAGACCTCAGACCTCGCCGGAAGTGCAAATAAAGGCAGCCGAAGGCGTCGCCCAAAGACTATTAGGCACGGAACGAGCCAATTTGTTCGTAATGATCGTGGATCCTGATCTTGGACCCATTGGAAAGGACACTTTCACAGTAATTTGCATATATTATACGATAACGTGTATAACTAAAATGAGTAATTTTCAACTACTGTCCAATTAACCGATCGAAAATGACCTGCACTTATCCGAGCACTGCTTGTATAATACACAAGCTGTTTCTTTCTTTATTTTTAACGCCCATTTTCTATCTAGATAGGTTTGAGGATGATCGCAAACGGTTGGAAGAACTCTTAATCAACGACCAACGATCGAAACATAATAACGACAAACTGAACTGTTGCGAAAATAACGAAAAATTTGAGAGATCCTATGGCAGACATTGATGTGATGGCTGTTTGGGGGCTACAAACGAGGAAATGATGGACTTAAATATTTGTTTCTCAGATAAGAAAAACTCCACTCGACCAAATTGAGATCGTCGGTACCTCCGGTGTGACGGTTGCATGGGGCTTGCATTATTACCTGAAGAACTACTGCAACGTTCACGTATCGTGGGAGGGAAGCCAGCTCGAACTCCCAAACACACTGCCAGACGTTCGCGTAAATGTCACCTCGAACGACAGGTTGTCGGCAGTCGTAAATAGTTAGCAACTGTTACCTTTATTCCCACAGGATTCAACGTTTGGATTCTTTAACAGGTTCAGATACTATCAAAACGTATGCACCATGGGATACAGCTCTGCATGGTGGCAGTGGGATCAGTGGGAAAGGAATATCGACTGGATGGCCCTTAATGGGATTAATTTGGCGCTTGCATTCAATGGCCAAGAGGCTATTTGGCGAAAAGTGTACCTGAAGATGAATTTGACCCTACACGAGATCAACGAACATTTCGGGGGACCTGCTTTCTTACCTTGGTAAGGTCCTGTATTATTGATTTTCATGAAATATCGATCGTGGTCTGATCATAAATCTCGCAAGTTACTTAAACAAAACATTGTCACGCTTCTGTTTAGGATTAGAATGGGCAACATTCGTGGATTGGGTGGTATTCTAAGCTCAAACTGGCACGAGAGATCGCTCCGTTTGCAGCATCGAATCCTCCAAAGGATGAGGGATCTTGGAATCATTCCTGTCCTACCAGCGTTCGCAGGACACGTGCCAAGAGCAATCTCCAGGCTATTTCCTACGGCAAACATAACTAAAACAGACCCCTGGAACCATTTCTCGGACAAGTATTGTTGGTAAGTGTTCCTAAAAATATATTAAATCGTAAGAGCTTTGATTAAAGATACCTAGAATCATTTATCTTGATGTCAATTCAGTCCCTCTCTCCTGGAGCCTACGGATCCACTGTTTCAGGTGATCGGCGAGAAGTTTTTGAAAACGGTAACTGAAAATTATAGAAATTCCGCTGGCAAAAAGTATAATCGTTGTGTTCTTCGGCCACTTACGTTTCCGTTTTGCAGTATATTGCGGAGTTTGGAACCGATCATGTCTACAATTGCGACACTTTCAACGAAAACGAACCGTACAACACTGAGCTGAAATATCTGAGGAACATGGGGCGTTCGGTTTTCTCAGCCATGAACAGCGTTGATCCAGAAGCAGTATGGTAATTATATATGTAACAACTGTACACTATAAATTACGAAATTACATTCTTCTGCCATCGTGCTTAATTGATTTCCTAGTTAAACGATTTCTTTCCATTTCTGCAATCTTTAAGTGCAATTATCATTCAAGGATAATGCAAGGCTGGCTATTCGTCCATAGCATGACATTCTGGACCGAGCCTAGAGTAAAGGCATTTCTGTCATCAGTTCCACTTGTAAGTACCGATCAGAATCTTACGCTACCTGTTTCTGTCACCGAATTAAATCCAATTCAATGCAGAAACATTGTCTCGAAGTAGTAGATTTCTCGTTTCAGGGGAAGATGATAGTCTTGGACCTGCAGTCCGAACAGTTTCCTCAGTACAACAGATTTAAATCTTACTATGGCCATGCGTTCATTTGGTGCATGTTGCACAACTTTGGCGGAACGCTCGGCATGTTTGGTTCTGCTCAAATTATCAACCATGTGAGTAAACCTCTTCGTAATTGGAGGAAATAATAGTAGCTGTCCACCCCCATCTGAACACCTTGCAAGATCTTTCCGCCTAAAACAAATAAAAAGTGATGGTTAATAAAAGATAAAGATGCCTAACGTCAACAGATGTGTTTTTCTTGTAGCGTGTTTTTGAAGCAAGAAACATGAACGACAGCACGATGGTGGGAACGGGCCTAACGCCTGAAGGCATAAACCAGAACTACGTCATCTATGATTTGATGAATGAAATGGCCTATCGTCAGAAACGCGTGAATTTGGACAATTGGTAAGATCGAATCATTAGAATGGCTACGGTTGGGAAACTAAAAGTAATTTCGACTATAAAAGGTTAAAACATCCTATCATTTATTCGATTCAGGTTCGAAAATTACGCCAGTCGCAGATACGGGGCATGGAACGAGTACACAACGAAGGCTTGGAAGAGTTTGAGAAGAACGATCTACAACTTCAATGGAACAGGAAGAGTGAGAGGACGTTACGTGATTACTCTACGTCCAAGTTTGAAATTGACGCCATGGGTAAGTGAATTCTATTGCCATCGACAGCTAATACGCCTTATCAAAGGGAGTCAAAATGTTACTGACTCTTTCATCCTTTAAAATTGTTTCCAATTCGAATTTTAATTACTTTTACGTAGGCTTGGTACGATCGTGCCTCGTTTTTCGACGCGTGGTACGTATTTCTGCAAGCAAGGCACGGACGAAGGAATAGCACCCTTTATCAACATGACGTCGTTGATCTGACTAGGCAAGCTCTTCAGCTGAAGGCGGATGATCTTTACGTCCATTTGACAGACGCTTTTAAAAATACAAACATCACTGAGTTCAAGTGAGTAGAAATTAATATACATCTCATCATTTTACGTCTCGAATTGTACTGTAATTGTTGCAGATCAAACGCTAATGCGCTTATAGAGCTCTTCGACGATTTGGAGTCGATACTGGCCTCTGGAAGAGCCTTCCTGTTGGGCACGTGGTTGGAGGAAGCGAAAAATATAACGACTAACAAAGCAGAGAAACAATTATACGAATACAACGCCAGAAATCAGATTACTTTGTGGGGGCCGCGTGGAGAAATAAGGGACTACGCGAACAAACAATGGTCCGGCGTCATTATGGATTATTTCAAGCCACGTTGGGTTATCTTTCTCACCGCACTCGAAACTTCCCTCGTCAAAAAGACGAAACTGAACGTCACGGAAATTAACGAGAACATATTCGAAATGGTCGAGAAACCATTCACATTTTCCCGGAAAATTTATGCGACAGAACCGAAGGGTGTGTAGGAAAGATTTAATTTACACAACTTTACGTATATAGAATGACTCGCCCCGAGATTACAAACATTTTTATATTAAGCTACTGAGAGGAAAACGAAATTTAAATTGTAAATTGAAGATTTTTAACAATGTTCTTTTGCAGGAGACTGTATCGAGATAGCTATGAAAATTTTGGCAAAGTGGTACAGACCATCGAAACAACACAAACGATCCTCCTTCAGAATCAAGAACCTAAATGAAAGGAAGTAACAGATTTTTCGAAACATTTGTAAAAAAAATATTTTACTACGAGAATAAATCAAGTAAACACGAAAACATGTAGAGGATTTATTAAAACACAATGAAATATTGTAAACGTCATTATTACTGTAAATTAGGGTTATGTTGTCCTGAAACGCGGACTCGAGGAGGGCGCCACAAATCACAACCCAACTTCCGGTTAGTAGAACGCGCCAATCACGTTTGACCTATCAGGAGACAGAACGAGTCGATGCTTTCCCGCCTAAATGTATTACCTTCAAGGCTGAACTATGCCTAATTCATCATTTTTTTTTTTTTCAAATACTCGTCACGAATTAACTAAAACTTGAGATTTCATTCCATAGTAATATATTTATAATGAAAGAGATATTTACATATTTAATTTCTCCTTGTCTTGCTGCTGGTACACTTACAACACTAGAGTAGAAAAAGGAGAAGGAAGGGGAACAAAACTGGCTATGTAACAAATACTATTATTGAATTCTTGAAATAAAAAAATCGTTTCAGGTAACCTTCGAAACTATTACTACTTTCGAGACGGTTCGCATGATATCCATTTATTAATTTTTCTACCAAATCGGATATTGTGCACGAATTTGTACAGTAGTTTGAATTGTGATGTAACGCAATCAAGTCGGTTAAAAATGCACTGTCGTACCATCGGAAATATCACAAATACAAGATTCTAGTCTTCGGAATGACACACATACCCGTAACAATTCTACAGGACGAGTCAAGGAGACGGAGGTCCTTCTCGGCTGCCAAACTTTGTGGTGTGTCATATATCCAACGTTCACCGTACAGCATTGCCCGCTTAAATGTTACCAAAGTCAACTTATACGCTGTCACATAAACGGGCAATACTTGAAATCTTACACGAGACGCAATTGAATGATTCTTCTCTCGATGGTTTCAACTCTGAATAATATAAAATATAGTCTCCAATTTTTACTGCAAAAAGTTTTTACAATGTTTTTGCCAAAAATTCCTAAAAAGTAGGGGGAAAAACACGTCGCATAATAATACCCCATTAAGAGTAAATATTTATAAATTTCCAGTAGTTTCAGAGTTATCCAACTTGTAGCCACGGCTTTTACGACACCCTCAAGGATATTCTCACTGCATCAACGTGATGATTATTCACGCAAGAGTATCGGTAATATCACCAAACGCGTACGGGAACTAATCGAAATTTTGGGTAAACCAAATTTTACCTTGGATCTCTAAATTTCGATCAAATTACCAAAGCAATTTCATAAAATATGAATATAATGTTGTACGCCATCGATGATATCAAAGACTCTCGTGCACGAATAAACATGAATCCCAGGTTTCAAATTATTAGTTAAGCCTACAATAAATTGTAATAATTACGCAACATCTTGTTGAGAATTCTGCGAAGATGTCGCGAGATCGTGACGAGATATGATTACAAGTAGTATCCCGGTCGTGAAGTTTCTAAACTATCGATAAAAGTCAAAGTTTATCATGGTCCCCCCGGTAAAGTCCAACGAAATCACGAATCCGACTTTTGGTTGCGTATATTTGGTCGCGTGCTCAGCACTATGTAAAGTACTGTGTAGAGTTAGAAAGATGATAGCGTGTCGATATGAGGCAAGAGCAAATTGCCAACATCTCAACTCGAAATAATAGGTTTGGGTTTCGTAAATACGACCACATAAGATAGGCGTGTGTAGAGGCGTGACTAACTCACTACAGCCAATCGTACTCACGTTCCTTTCACTCGTCATCATTTCAGCTCTACACAGTAGGACTTATTATTTATATGCCGCTTAATTCTCAGGTCGTGTGACTTTCGGCGTACTGGATTCAGAAAAGACGATCACGCGACTAAACCCTTAACTGGTACCGTGAGGGGTACACTAACACGTCAACGACTACATTTATTTCATTTGTAATTAATATTGTGCTATAGCATCTTTTGTAATCAGCTGCATAAAACAAAAACAATTACACAAGGAAGATGCAGCTTTTTGTTCTTCAACAGGAGGTACTTTCAGAGATGTGAGATACCAATTGAGGGTTAAAGTACAACAAAGTGTTGTATAATTAGAGATTACAATGTTGTAAAAAATTTCCAATTACCTCTGACGCTATATTTTCCATGTATTAGTTTACTAAAAGTACGAGATCTGTAAGCTTAGAGCGACTGATCGTTTTTACTGAATCCTGTAGAAAATTTCTGAGGACGAAAAAGAATAAACCACTGGCGTTACATTAAACTCAAATAAAAATATTTCGAACGAACATCATTTCGATCTTTATGAATGGGCTTCTTAAAAGAACATGTAACAGAATTTCCTCGAAAAATGAATACACCTAAAATGAGCCTTAATAATAGTCGAACGTATAAAACATTCTCACTGAATGTAAAAGTACGAAACGGTGCTTAATAACATCACAGAACGATCAAAAAGCATGGAAAACATTCGTTCCCGTATCGCGGTATAACCGGACCTATATTTAAACGACATCGTTGTCTCGCAGGCTGATGTTTCAAGCCCCTTAGAAAATACAATTAGCGGTGCATACAAAATACTGCTAACTCCCGCGAATTTCGCAACCGTTGACTCTATGTAACGTTATATCTAGCTAAAATTCGTAAGTAGAACGCCATTGCAAAAACGCCAAACGGCTTTCGAGTATCGGAATTAATTCCTTCAGCCTCGTTAACTCGTAGATAATGAATAAGTTCGTCGCGTTGAACGTTCTGTAGACAAAACAGTGTCCCGAATCAGTTGGAATGATTCATTCGGTAATGTCTTTTTGACTAGTGACTCCTATTTTAACAGGGTCACGACTCCAAACGTTCGTTTACATTTTATTCCTGGATGGTCAAAAATTACCAGCATCGGCGAATAAACCAATTTTAAAACAACATCATCGTTCCCCCACGATCCTATTCTCCTGCACCACTGTCGACCATTTTGTTCCGATTACTAGCAATTCTGGTTGGAGTTTCAAACATCGCCGATCAATTGGAGGGGAAGGGGGAAGGCTCTATCGAATTCTTGTTGGACGAGATCTCGTATCAAAACTTGGCTGTAGGAACCAATCCTGTCTATCGTAGGCAATGCACAGGTCCTTAGGTGGGAGGCAATACATCGAGAGCAAAACGGGAGATAGAGCAAAGAGTAGGGGAAGCGACGAGTACATATCGACCAATCAGGTCCTTTGGAATTCTGATCGTATAGATCAAAGCCGCCGTTAGGTGATCGGGCAGCATTCAAGCGCGCGTCCCGCCAAAACCAACGTTACCGATAGTTGGTAATATGTAGAAAAACCATCTAATATTGAAGCTTTGTTGCTCGAACCCTGTTAAATTAGGATCTCTCGTACAAAGGATTAAATGGAACAAATTAAAATATCTTCGTTACTCCTAGGACTTACATTATACGAATTACGAATATTTAGTTCGCTCTGTTTCAGTTTCCATTGGAATCCACGGTCTACGCTAATGGGTTTTACACTATTGTTCGTCTAACTTCGTGTACAAGTGACGGGGCTTAAATCGAAATTGGTTTCCGATCGCATCGAACGTTCATTTCTCGGCGAACGTCTGAATTATCCGCAAATTCGTTACTTTCAGGTTTCAGGAATCGAGTAAGTACATTCTGAAGTGTTTAAGGCGAATTCGGAGCGCGGAGTGCAACCGCGATATGTTTCAGATTGCAAGTTTGACGAGAAGAATCGCGTAATTGGCTTCGATAGTTTTCCGTTTACGCGCTTGGAAAAGTATTTCTAAATGTATTCAAGTCTTCCCAGACACGATAATGAAATTACTTCTCGACAATGTAAAAAACTATATTGAGAGTTAGCACACGAAGCTATTCGTAGCTCAACGAGACAGCCACTCCAACGTCTTCAAAATTAGAAACAAACTAATTCAATAGACCGATTGTGACAAACTGGAATACAAGATTCCAATAAACTAGTAATAACCAACTTTACTGGTTCATTCGTCGCTCTTGGTAGCAACAGCGTCGAAATATTCGACGATCGTCAAAGAATATTTCATTCTGCATATACCACTGCAGATACCACTTACTTTTGATACTTACCAAAAACTCTTAGTAATATCACCGTTTCTCAGGTTCGGTTTCTTGAGTGGATGCTTCTGTGACTGGGGGTAGAGGATTGTCTATGGACATCTGTCTGATAATAAAGTAGAATTTCAAAATATACGAATAAGGCAGTTTACATCCCATGTGAAAATAATAGAGACAGAGTGCTAATGCTTTGGAATAGTTTACCTGCCGTTTGCTTGCCAGTCATAAGAATCAGGAGCAGAATTACTTCTACCAGTTCGCTGAAAACGTTCCGTTTTCGCGTTCCTGGCCGTCTTCCTTGGCACCATAGTCTCCTCTACCTTTCCAGGCGGAGATAGCTTCATACCGTCGACCACAGCGTCTGCACACACCGTCTTTCCACTCTTCTTTGGTAAAAACGGATTCTGAAAATAAATAAAAACAAAATTTGAAATGATTCTTTACCAGTAATACAAAAAATTAATATAAATATGAAAATAACTACCTGAAAACTGTGCTGTTTCAACATGGTTTTGATGAGGATCAGAGTATCCAACTTTGGTATCCTAGTGACCACCCTTTCTACTTCTTCATCGGTAACGGTAACAGGAAGTCGACAATTGTCAACTTCGCTAGGCAGTGGTTCGGCGCCATGATTAGTCAGCCATACGTGCGTCTTTATATCTGGCAACGAGATCCTATCAACAGGATTCTTAGCCACCATTTTCGAGATCAAATCGCAGAGATCATCGGAAAGAGCTGGCTTCTCGGGAAATTTTATCGGCTCCGTGCGAATCGCTGCTTGGACGCCGATTATGCTACCAGCACCGTCCCATGGCACTTTTCCAGTTACCAGGGAGTACAGCGTTACCCCCATGGACCATACATCGCATAACTTCAACATAAAATGAAACAGAAAATCAAACTACGCACTGGTTACTGACCAATTCCAAATTTTTTCCAACCGAAAAATTTGGGCACATACTAGAATTTTTTTCTCGTAAGTGGGTAGAAATTCGGTAGTATGTCTATTCACCAAAAATGATTGTAGTTGACCCCCGAAAACAAAAATAATTTTTCTAGAACGATTTGAAACTTTTCATTTTCGTTGAAAAATTTAGCCACCCCCTGTCGATTTTTCTTAAAAATTCGTTTTTAAATTTTAGTAATTTTCTTTGAGGCTGTACAGAATAGTTGTCTAATACTTTTTGGGCCATCTGCCGTCTGATAATACTGGATTGCCTTTTTCAATCCCTCCCATAGTCAATTCATACGTATTTCAGTGGATAGTTTTTCAACTGACTGCCATCCATGAGAAGAGGACGCTCAAATCACCTCCAAATTTTCAGATGATTGCACGCTCCATCGATACAACCGTGCATCTACTTTTTCGACAGAGATATAAACGCGTAACAACTTGTTTTAACTAGTACAAACTTGCTACTACACGTTTAACGATCAATTTCATCGTTATCTACGAAGAATCCACCGGAGATGTCGATCAGGCCGAAGTCAAAGCGTGAGATATTAATTTTAATATAATATTATAGGTCAGGGGTTGGAACAGTTATGAAACTTGTTCAGTAGATTTCATTTAAAGTTTCAATACAACCTCTTTGAGTACATTCCCTACATTATAAGCTGAATAGAAAAATAACTGACGATAAAAATTCAAGTATTTTGTTCGTCGGTATAAAATATGTACCATAAATATGATACGGTGGTTTTATTCACTTTATACAGACTTTGAAACTATGAATATATGTAGATGCAATTCCAAAGCCACAGGGGGTCATGAAGGATTCAATACTAAAATCCCTTGCACATTGAGAGAGTACAATGGAGACTCGGAACTCCATCTAAAGTTTGGTTTGCATTGGGTATCGAACCGTTATATTAGACGCAAACTTACTAACGCTTGCATCCAAGACCTAAGTGGACGTTCAGTGAAAAGTGATATTTCATCATAAAATTTACAAAAGCTTCCGTCTAAATATCGAAGTTAACCTTTAGTTAGGCCTTTACCTCGCTAACAAGCAAAAAACTAAGTCTATAAATTGGTGTATTGTTCTAATTGGAAAGAGAAATTTGTCATCAACTGTACGAAGTCACTATAAACCGACCGTACTGACGATAAGGTCAGGTGATAAATCTTGACTACAATCTTGGAAATATACCCAAACGAGGGTGAATTACGCTAGTGCATGCTAAATTATACGCTTCTTTCGTCGGCCGTCGAACAGAGGCGTAATAATGCGTCACGAGTGCCATTTTATTCTGATGTACATTTAGGCGAGATAAGTATCGCCCTTACGAATTACTGCTGTTCTGATTTCACGATCAGATTTCCATGCAAATAAACTCAGCTGTTGGTTATTAACAGAAAGATCGGATCTGATTTCAGGAAAAAATTTGCGTCAATCGTAACACGTGTATATCATAGAACGAAAAAATATTGATTCTCTCCAACAGAGGCGCCACATTAAAGTTCGCACAACCCCAACAGACATTCAATCCTAATTTTCTCGAAAACGAAGCCTCGTATTAAAAAAGTGTATTCCGCAATTTTTGTTTGATTTTGGACGAAGAAACGATTTCAGTAAGGATTTACATGAAATTACCATGAGTTACGACTTATCCCGCGCTCTGCCCACCTTCGTCCTATCTCATGGAAGAAAATTTTGTTGATAAATTATGAATCCATCGAGAGACAAACTTTTCTCGCGGTTAATACATGTTAACGAGTCAGATAACCAAGGTTTAACCCAATTCCGCGAGCGGCAACTTTCCGTACTTCCAAGTTCACCTGCATATTTCACGATACCGTGAAGAAATCGATGTCACCTCCCGAAGCGTGCAACTCGTTTCATAAGTTTTCGCGCTGTACCGTTTGTACGTGCGCGAGGACATTAAACGTGCCCCCAAACTTAGCAATAGAAAGTCAATTTGTCGTACTATTTCGCCGTCGGATCGACCGTGAAGCCATCGACGCAAAGTCATTACGAAACAGTCTTTCCCAAAAACAGAGGAATCGATATACCGGAAGAGGTACTCGAAAAACTGCACGAAATTATTTAATCAATTACTACATAGATCCTTCGCTTAATTGGGAAGTAAATGTTGGATGAAAAAGAAGATTTAGGTAACAAAGTGGAAAATAAAAACGAACCGCCCCTCAAAGGGATCGCTGTACTTTGGGTAAATCACTATCACGAATCATGCTATTGACACAAACCTTATCATACAAAGTCAAGGGCAAGCGTGACCGCCGATGAACGTCACAACAGAAGGGAACCACTTACTACGAAATTGAAAATCGATAAACCATCGACGTAATAGGGGTTAACTGTGCAATAAGTGAACCTTATGAACGTTCATGAAGAGCTCCAAGGTGTCACCGTCAACTATGATCGAACTTGATTCATTCTGGGACGCAGAAGTATCAAAACTGCAATATTCTAATTTCTGCAACCCCTTCCACGAGTACACATATTTTAATATATGTACTTTTTATACATTTCCTGGAGCAACATCGCTTTTACGAAACTAGATAAACCACTTTCATGATTAACGACTCACGTATTCGAAAGTCGTAGCTATTCATCGGCGATAAATACGGGCGAAATTGAAAATCAATTAAGCGAGAGCTTTATACCGCGAAGATACTCACAGTTCCGGAATAATGGGCACCAGGTGTGGTTGTTTCGGGTGCCGCGAAGGCTGGAGTTCCGGCTGGTCCGGATAATAATTCTCCGGATGCCCTCAATTCCGCGCTAACCCCCAAATCAGCTATCTTGATACGTCCGTCGCTATCCACCAGTAGATTACTTGGCTTTATGTCTCGATGCACTATCCTCTGGTAATGTACTGGAAAATCAAATTTCAGAAAATACAGAAACTCGTCAAGTCACAAACTCAAAATGATCGTGCAATACAGAGTTTCGTAAGACTCTCTTTGATGCTTACGGTACTCGACGCCCATCACAACGTCACGGAAATTCTTCCTGGCAGTTTCCTCGTCCAAAGGTCTATCTGTCGGTATCTGAAGGATTTCGCCTTTCTGAACCAGTTCAAAAACAAGGTAAAGATTATCCTCGTCCGGGTCATCGAGAACCTCTACCAGCTTAACGACGTTAGGGTGATCCAACTTCTTCAACAGAGCGATCTCTCTGTAGACCTTCGCCAAAGGGTTCGCGGCTCCCTTTCTACCCGGTGCCATTCTACCAAAGATTCCTGCCTTTTTCATCAGTTTCCTCTTACTCAGGATTTTCATCGCGTAATGGGTCTCGTCCTCCTCGTTGTAAACTAACTTCACTATACCGAAAGAGCCCTTCAACAAAGAAAACAATGGAGTCTAATAGAATTTAGCGACAACACCACACGACGTTAGGAAACCTATGTGTTTGTGATTTCTGTTCGTTCGAGGACGATGGAAAGATATAATTGCCAGCACATAAGGACGTTAAAAATGAAGTCCATCGATCGAAATTAATTTCGCGTTCAATTGGCTCGCGCTGGCCAGCAACGACGATTTAATTTCAACTTCGAGCACAGTTTGAAAGGGCGCGATCAGGGATAAATTGAATCGTCTACATTGCACAACTTAAATTCACGGAACGACGTTTCTCGCTTGAAAAAGTCTCCCTTTTACCCCTTACGATTGAAACGGTTGGAGGAATTCAACTCCCCTTCCTCCCGCGAGACGTGTAGAAACTTTCCCAAACTTTGCTTTGCCCGAACATTTCTACTTTTCTGCTAATTTTCACGAAGCAGAGAGAACAGGGAATTCCAAGAGGACAGAATTCCGGGTTATGTATAGTAAGGTCCTTTTTAATAATTTTCTAGCAGAAATTCTGCAACTTTACACGAGGAGGAAGGTTCTTCGGGACGATTCACGGTTATAAAAGAATTTAAAATAACGAAAATAACGAGATTAATGAGGAAATTTAATGAGTTTCTACGAACCAATGCATCATGAAAAGTTTACGTGCGTTTCTGTGATATACAGCTTTAAATACGCCCACTGTTTAATTAAATATTAACACAGATCGTTGGACGAACGAGCATTGAAGCCGGCTTTATCATTACTCGTAAACAGTGGATTTCTGTGAGAAATTCAACAGATTCATGGAAAATTAAACTTACATTTAATTTATTTCAGAACCTCAAGCTGAAGAATCCTTCGTTACGGGAAAAAATTAATAATGGAAAAAATCATTACTGTTCATGTTGATATAAAGGTCAGGTTTCAACAGTAAGGCTGATTACAAAATACGAAATTGAGCAAGCACTTGAACTGATCGAAAGGATCCGCGAGTCGTGTACTTTAGTCCTTGATGAACGATATCGCGTTACTGAGAGTGACATAACGCGATTGCCGACAATCAGCTTTAATTGCCTTGCTCTTAATTACTTCTTAATAGGCAGGAACAGTGACACGAAAATTACTCCGACAGATAGCTCGGGTCACGCGCTACCCCAACGAACGAAATAAACAAGACTAATTGTAATTTATGTGAAAAAAAAAAAATGGAACTCTAACTCACTTGCCCGATATTATCCAGGAGTTTGTACTGGTTTAGCTGCAGAGCACCCTGTCTATTGTCAATGGAGACCCTTCGACTCTCCCTGAGGGGTCTCCTCCTGTTCCTGGGCGATCCCTGAGGACTACCATACGGGGAGTACGGACAATACGGATAAATGGGTCTAACATTGACGTTCGAAGCATCCCCTAGAAACCTCGGACTCGATCCCACGTCGCTAGGAGTTTGTACCTTCCTAACGTCATCGACGAATGCCAGGTTCCGGGTGCCCATGTCGCTACAAACGCTGCTGTTCAGCGTCAAAGTGCTACCTCCATCGTGAACCGACAAGTCGTCGTTCGATTCAGCAGGTGATATCACAGTCTGGACTAAATCGTCTTGTTTGGATATCTGCAAAGAGATCCGTCTGTCCGATAGATGCAGTTCTCCATCGGTTCTGTCTTCGGACTGGGTCGACAGCAGCTGGTACACTTTGATCGATCGCGGAAGGACCCTCAACTGAGCATCGTCCGCGGGTTCACTGGTCTCTTCCTCCTTGCACGATTCCATCGACAATCTGTCAACAGATTCCTCAACGATTCTAATCTCATCGACGGTAGACTCCGATCTCTCGATGCTGATCTTCAAGCTTGATCGATCGCTAGCTTGGTCAAGTTCCTCGAGAACATTGCTGACATTTCGAACGGTACGTTCGCGAACTATCCGGTTTAACGCGTTCCTGGACGTTGGGGAAGTGGAGAGGCGATCGAGCGATTCGCTGGGAAACGAGGTGTCGATTATGACTGTGGACGGATCTCGAAGTCTCGTTGCAGACAACTCTTCTGTAGAAAATAAAACGATTAACTTAATCGTCACTTTTTACAGTGATACGTAACGTGTATTAATAGGGAGTAGCCTCTCGAACTCGTCACTAATTCTACTACGATTACTGTATCACGGATTCTGGCTACATTGTAGCGCAACTATGCAACATGTACCAAAAGTTCTATTGTTTACTTTGGTACAATGGTCGAACGTGCAGAGTGAAACTCTACACATTGAACTAACCGACAATCCTCCAACTCTACATTATCCTACAGTAACTAAGTGGGTTAGACTTGAACGTTCTACCAAAACTATCAAACGTAGTTTCGGGTTCCATACTTTATGGCAGGGACCCCGTTCTCAGAATCCCTAATACTACAGATAAATTCGACTCACCAACGCTGGTATGTTGCACGAGATCACACAGATTGTCCATGCTCATTTGTCTGGAGGCTACCTCGTCCCTCAGCAGTTCCTTCACCTCGTCGATGTTAGGCATGTCCAGTCCCGTGCTGGACACCTTTCTGTGCATTTCCGTGGTAGGCATCCTGTTTGTCTCAATATCGACTACCTCCTCTGTTAGACTTTCCTCGGCCCTGCCGAGGATCACTCTGGAATTCAGGCGTTTGAGTCCGGTAGAAGATCGCCGCCTGTCCTTCAAGAACGACGACAAGTCTTGTAGAACGTCCGTGGACGAGGAACTCCGTCGATCCTCGTCGAAAGTGCCTAAATTGCTCGCGTAGCCGCTGCTCTCCCTTCTTGGTCTGACGATCCTGGGCCCCCTGGACCTCAGAATCTCGCGCAGGGTCGGTAGTCCCTCCGCTTCTTCGAGAAACAGAGCACTGTCTTTTCGAACCTCGACGATCTCACTGTCAGAAACTTCCTCGGGACTGGATGGGATTCTGAACGAGTCCTCGCTATCTTTCGCCTTAAGCGTCGACTCCTCCAACGGCAAGTTAATAGTCACCTTGCTATCCGAATCAACGAATCCTTCCGAACTACGAATACACGGTGACTTTCTCTCGAAGTCTCCCCGTCTGGAAAGCGTCGGTTCTTGTCTCACAGACCAAAAGTCTTGCACTTCGCTTCCCAAACTCAGCGTTAGAGGTGGTGTTCCTCGATGATACTGAAATCTGGTCTCTGTAGACGTAGTCACATTTCTAGGCTCCAAGTTCTGAATCGAGGAAAAGTGCTTCGAAGAAGAGCTAGAGTCTAATGGAAAAACGATGTTCCTCGAGGAGTCCAGCGATACGTCCAACGTGGAATCTATCGAGTCCGTGGGAGGAACAGTCAGTGACTTGGAGATGGACCCTGGCGATTCTTCGTCGACCGCGCTGTGCCTGAAAACGAAACGCTTTGAGACGATTTATCTAGCAAGGGACTGCCGCGAAAAGTGCAGCGATGATCGAACAAAGGACATCAATTTTACCTCGACTTCCGGGAACACTCGAAGAAAACAAGATTCAGACTTCAAATAAATGGCGAATGAATATTTATGAAATTCCTTAGTTATTGAAAGTAAAATTGTGGTTAATTTTTAAATACTTCAAATAGTAATGGAACCGTGATTTAGAAAGAACTTTGAAAAAAAATGTTAACCAAATTAATTAACAAAGAACGAAATCTCGGACAGGGAATAGGCGATGGACACGAAAACAAAGCAATTTTGGGGACGTATCGATGATACTCGTGACAAGCAGCGACGCGGAAACGTGACGACAGGCCGAGCACGAAGCGTCGATTGAACGTCAAACGCAGATCGTGTTCCGTTGTCTGGTCTGCAAACGAAAATTTCTCGTTTCGTTGAAAAAAACTCCGCAGTTCGATTTAGGAAAATTCGATTCACCGGCGAAGCGCGCTGGGAGAACCGTGACTCAATATATTCCCTCTAACGTTCACAAACGTGTTATTCCTGTTAAATGTTCGCTTTGAAAACATTCGTGCAAAAGATTCCACGACGCAAAATACCGCGACCAGTCCGGGGATTAATATCGTTTATCTATTATTTATTTAATTTAACCGAACGCGTGTTTCATTCCTAATTTGAGGGTACTTGCATGTATCGACTAATGCCGTTTCTGCCTCCTAAGTTTAAAAAAAAGGCGGAGAACATCGATCGAGCGACGATCCGTGAAACTAGCAATCGGAGACGCATAAATTGTGGAAAAATTGCAGAAAGTCAGCGGAGATCATTGAATTCCAGACGATATCAATGGTATTTACTATCTAGGATGCGTTCGCGAGACCGAGCATACAAGTTTCGCGAGCATTTCGAACGGAAGTTTCAGCCTCCGGGGAGCGTGGAGCTCATTAAATCCTCGACAAAGCGAGCCGCGAGTATACGCCTCTTAGAAGAGCCCAGTGATTTGCAATTGAGATCGCGCCAGTTAGAATGACGAAAATATGAAATTTAAATGATGCTCACCGTCTAACCCTCGGAGATATAAACGCGCGGCATAAAGCTCGAAAAAGCAAATTGAGGGAGAGAAATATTTTTTCACCTACTGAATTAATACATTCGAAAATAGCTCGTTTATTTGACGCATTCAATGGGACCGTTTTAATAAGTGATACGAGTCGCTTAAATTCGTTTAAATTTAAACAATCATTCAATGAAATTAATCCCCGAGCAGTCGAACATTTATTAAACGACAGACATATCATCGATCGACATCATAAGTTACTTCTTCGATTAATTATAGTCATTTCTGAATAAGCATGATGGCCTCGAATTTAATGGCTCATCGGTGCATTGAAAACCAAGTGAAAGGGATTGTGGCATTCTGGATCGGACAGCTGAAGCCTGTGCCCATAAAACGATAAGGACACAGACCTAAGTCCAGAATAATTCCGATGACACTATATCGAGAGAGTTAAACGCTGTCATGTTTTGTAACTACTTGGGACGCGTTTGATTCAGTCGCTACGCTCAACATTTAATTCCAAGAAACGTCTCGTAGAGTCTGTTCGCGAGCACTCCTTGCCCGTAACGAAGCTGAAACTTTGTTCCTCGACGGTAAAACAAGCTTACAGAAGTTAAGCCGAGCACAGCAGTCAAGCATGAAACTTCCTGAAGGAATTTTCGAAGAATCTCATGGGGACGAGCCGGAATTTCGATTCCCGTCGCGTAAGTAACTCCGCGGACTAATTATAGCGAGACTTTGGAACAGCGGTTTAATTTGCCAAGATACGCACGACAAACGACACAGCTATCCGCCCGTCTCTCCGTACGAGGATTGTTCCGTCGCTTGTATTCGTTGGCCTAGTTCGAACGGAACAATTGATCCGCGTCGCAAGCATTATTCCAGAGTCAAATCGGACTCTTATCTTTCCCGTCGCGCGGATGAAAACTACGGATTCGCGATAATGACTGCGGCGGTCGTTACTACTTTCGTTGCATCTGCAGAGTTCCGTGAAACGATTGCGTACCTCGAAACAATTTTCAATGTTCTTCGCCAAGTCGTCACGAAATCTCTACCACCGGTCATTAAGATTCTAATATACAGAGACTGAAAAGGGCCAACCGATGATACACTACAGCTTTTATCGGTAAGATTATACCCGTGTGGCGGGGGTAGCCCATCAGTGTCCTTGAATGGTCAATTTATTCCGCCTCTGCTGCAAGCGAGAATCATCAATACACATCATCCTATGCAGAACGTGCGTCGTTTCACGGTTTTTGCAACGCAACGTACGAAGAATCAGCGAACCGAGAGCGCGGGAACCGATGGAACGAGAAGTCTCGCGTAAGCAGGACATAGTCGTTGCGCGACAGGGTGCAAAAAATGTCGAGCCATTAGCTAATCGACAAATTGCCCGAAGGCGCGACTAGAATAACATTTCAGTCCATTTCGAACGAGCTACTTCTCTGCCAAATAAATTCTGACTGGAACTTATTTTTATTCGAATAACGAACAGTAATTAAGGAAGGTTTGAGCAAGCAAGAGTGTCGGAGAACATCCCTTAACGCAACGACAGGCCGTTGGTATGAACATTTATCTCCTCTACTTAATGCATAATTCCGCTATAACAATGTTCTGAATAGCAGTGTGTAAGTCGCGGCAAACTTCTTGATCAAATTCGTCACCACCCACGTGTTAATAGCATTAACGATACGCGCTGAAAGACTAGACACGAAACACGGACGACCCTGAGATGGCTCGCAACGCCCTTTCGGAAATTGGATCGCTCCGGTAGTAATTTACGAGGCCCTCAGGAAATTTCACGACGAGACGCATGTACGCGGGTGAAACGCGTTCCGTTCTCGCCGCGAATCCAACACGAAATACGATAGCTCCAAGGACCCACAACTTCGAACCATTCGAAATGAACGCCATATATACCGATTCTACGAAGAGGATCTTCAGGGTTAATAAAATGGACGCTTAAATCGAACCACCGACGGCGTCGTTGCGTCAAGAGTATCGGAAAAGTTTTATTTGGAACTAATAACGTGGACGAAACGTCCTTCTGATTTCATTTTACTGACATCTTCCTGTGGCTACTTTAAACAGATCCAATATCCCTAAACAGAGCTTTATCCCCGGTGATAAATTTGATACGCGTCAGAATGGAATTTTTCACGCTCGAGTATTCGATTTTAATGTTCATAATAACACGTTTTTTCGTTTTGCGACTGACAGCACAAGGATTGCGATAACACGCAACGACCGGCAATTAGCATTAACGTTAACTGTACTGTTTGACGTTACAGTTTGGCCTCCGATTCCATTGCGTACGTGCAGATAATCGAAGCAAACAAGGCATCGGTGATATCATTTCGCGCGTGGGATCGCGTAAATACCGCGCGATTCAGACAGAAAAGAACATTTGTCAGGACCTTGATCACTGCCTGCAAATGTCATCGTCTAACCTTTCATGCTCGATGGACACCATATAGAGCAACAAGGAATTCTCTCGAAAAGTTGGCGTATCGAGCCATTAAATCTCGGTCTACGCAGATAAGTTTTTTACGCGACATACAGTATCATTGTAATTTTTCTTCAATTAATAACGAACCAAATACTATTCATCTTTCGTTCGTTATTTCAGAATTCAGTTTCTCTTGCCAAATTCATACATCTGACAAAAACAATGATGTAGGCTTGTCGGAGTACGATGCCCAACGGCCGCAAAGGGTTAATTAGCTGCTGTGAACGTGGGTGGTGAAGACAGCGATGAAAAGTCTGCAGGCGGTTTGTGAGGAGAGAATAAATTATACGAGGACTGGATTCGCAAAAAATTCTGACGTCCCTACGTTACGTCAGTGAATAAACTTTTAAAATAATAGTCACTAAACTTACGTTACTTGAGAAGGTAAACCGGTAAAAATTTATAAAATAAGTTAATGTCTCTAGTCAGAGGCGACGTTTGCTGGTTCGTGAATGAAATCGTAAGGTTATTCGAGATGCTCCGAAGCATGTGACAATATTTCCTTTTCCCATTCTCGCGTTCATGATACCGCCCAGAAATGTCAACGGATGTATGTAAATTACATCGTTTGTAAGCGTGGTCACGATCGATATCCGCACATTCGACGATGTGTAACATCAAAAAGTATTTGCTCAATTTGACCGTCCAACGTTCCTCTGCTTCTCTCCTCTTCAATCCGTATTACGCCATTTTCCAGCGAACGCAATTTCCTTTCGACGTATTCTGAATCGTTCACAGAGACGACTCTAACGTGGGCTATTCTCGGAGTATAACATCCAGACAAGGATGTGCCAATTGTGTGATGCTTTACCGCAAAATATTCAAAGGGGGAAAAAAGGACGATAAAAGGGTGGACGTTTTATTTTCGGGTCGAAGTATCTGCTCAACAAATCGATGCTTCGAAGGATGGTTCCTAAGCAACAGGGACTGAGACCCTAAACGTGGGACGTAAGTGGAGGGGATAGATTACGCGCAGACGCGGAGTACTTACTTACTGGATCACCAACACATTATTTGCCTCTAAAAAAAATATTTTCTGTATCATAAAAGTGTGTTAAATAAATGATACAAATCTCGAAAGGATAGACTGTACCGTTTGCTTGGAATAAATTCTTGAAGAGGATTATCCACTGGGAAAAATGTCCACCCCATTAAGGAGAATAAGGTTTTACGAGTAAGTGGAATGTGAACAAAGTGGAATAGTTCTTTCTTACGAAGGCTGACTAATGTCTGACCCAATACGATCCACACGAAAGGTCTTTTATTATCTGCGAAATAGCTGCTTGGATGTCAGAACAATGCAAAGAATTCTGCGATATAACCGTGCGTGTCATGCAATCGTTGTAATAGGAATATTGAAAAAGTTAATCTCGCTTTTCTGTTTTTTTTTGTGGACAGAATTGGCTAA